TCCAGCAAGCTTGTCTCTCTTCCCCATCAGTACTGCCACCACAGACTTCTATACCGGCTTCTGTTACCATTGGCTAGTTTGTCTTTTTCCTAAGTTTCGTATAACTGGAAGCACAGAGTATGACACCTACAGAACATAGTTTCTGTGAGATTCTCTCATGTTCTTGTACATATCAGTAGTTCTCTCTCCCCCTTGACAGTGGGAATTAAACCAGGGTCTTGTGCATACTAGGGAAGCACTCTAACTCTTTAGCCACATACCCAGTCACTTTGTATTTTTTTTTTTTTTCTATTTGAGATAGAATCTCTTTAACTTTACTAGGACTGGACTCCAATTGGAAATCCACCTGTCTCCACTTCCCAAGTGCCTGAGATTACAGGCATGTGTCACCATTTCTTTTTAGAGATGGGGGTGGTACTATGTTGCCCAGGCTGGCCTTGAAAGCTTGGGCTCAAACCATCCCTCTGCCTCAGGCTTTGAGAAAAGCTAGGACTACAGGTATGCACCACCATACTTGGCTGGTAAGTTATTTTTTATTGCTGCAAAGTATTCCATTGTATAAATATACCACAATTTATCAATCTCTTCATTACTGGATTTTTATATTCTGGGTTTTGGCTCTTGTGACTAAAGCTGCTATGAAATTCTGCTATGTGTGTGTCTTTTGACACATTTGTTTCTCTTGGGTCTACACTTAGGAGTCTGATGTTGGGTTATAATTCAGGCATATATTTGGATTTAATCTATAATACCAAACTGTTTTCTTTGACTTATATAGTCTCTCCCACCTCCCTACAATGTCTGACAATTTCAGCTACTCTCCATCCCATCCTCACCAACACTTGGCAATGTCAACATTTTTGTTCCCATCTTTTTTTTTTTTTTTTTTTGCAGTACTGAGGATTGAACCCATGGCCTATGCATGCTAGGCAAACACTCTACCACCGAGCTACGCCCCCAATCTTATTTGATTATTTGTTTGATTTTGAGACAGAGTTTCTCTGTGCAGTCCAGGTTGGCCTCAAACATGAGATCATCTTGTCTCATTGAATCCTGAGTGCTGGGATTACAGGCATGAAGCACCACACCCATTATTTATTTGTTTGTTTATTTGCATTGCTGAGGATTGAAACCATGGCACTGTACATGGTAGCCAAGTATTCTGTCACTGAGCTACATCTCCAGCACCTACAAAAGTAGTCCTTAGTAAGTACTTCTCCATGAGCATCTTTTCTTTTTCTTTCTATTTTTTCCACTGTGTTAGGGACTGAATCCAGGACTTCACATATGCCAGGCAAGCACTAGACTCTAAGCTACACACTGAGCTCCAACCTTTTTATTTTATTTTATTTTTTTGGCAGTACTGGAGTTGAACTCAGGGCCTCATTTTGTTAGGCACACTCTCTACCACGTGAGCCACTTCAGATCTTTTTTGTGAGTATTTTTGAAATAGGGTCTCACTTTTTGCCCAGGGTTGGCTTCAAACTTTGATCCTCCTGATCTCTATTTCCTAAGTAACTAGGATTATAGGCACAAGCCAGCCAGCCTTTTTCATTTTAACCATTCTGGTGGTGTGTTGCTATTGTTGTTTGGTTTGGTTGGGTTTGGTTGGGTTTTGGTTTGGTTTTTGTTTTGCAGTACTGGGAATGAACCCAAGGCCTCAAAATGGTGTGTAAGACCTCTGCCACCGAATCACATTCCCAGCCCTGTGTGGTGCCTTAAGGTTTTATCTTTCTCAGGTAATGTGGAACAAGTTTCCTCATGTGTGTCACAATTCAGATAGTGTTTTCTGTTTCCTTTTGACTGAACCCAGGGTTGTGGTCTACCATTGAGCCACAACCCCAGCCCACATACCTTCTTTCTCTGAAGTACCTTTTGTGGCCCATGGTAGCTCATTTCTCTGATGACCTCAGATGAACCATGCCTCCTCCCACTTGCTGCTGGGCCGAAGCCCAAAGGCATCAGAAGTGATGCCATGACAGTTCCAGGTCTGACCCTGTTCTGCTCCTGAGTTCTCAGCCACCAGTAAGAAGTCCAGCTTCATCTCTTGGTATTTACCACAGGCTGTGTTCTTACATAGACTATATAGATAACAAGGAAGAAAAATAAACCTATCCCATATACAGCTCAGCGCAGGCCCTGTGCCTGGTCTGTATTGTAAATGGGAAGACACAGTTTCCCTGCCAGAAGGACCAGGTAGTGTGAGCACGTGTTCCATGGAGAGATCTACCATCCTACTATGGCAAAAAGAACAAACAAGAAACCCTGGGCAGCGCTAGAACCACTCAGTGGAGCCTGGCCCACAGACAATAAAATGGATTCTGTTGGCCGGGGGTGTTATCACACAGCAATAGGTAATCAAAACAAAGTATTTTGTCCTTTTTAAAAAAAAAAAAATTGAGTCATTTTTTGGCAGCACTGAGGTTTGGAACTCAGGTCTTCACGCTTGCTAGACAGGTGCCCTTAATTTTTGGGATAAGTTTTTTTGAGATAGGGTCACGTGAACTATTTGCCCTGATTGGTTTCAAACTGCTGTCCTTCTGATCTCTGCCTCCTGAGTAGCTAGGATTACAGGCGTAAGCCACCAGTGCCTAGGTACTTAACGCTCCCCCTTCCCCTCCCCCTCCTCCTCCTCCTCCTTTCTGTTTAACACTTCTTTAAAGCAAGTATTTGGGGGCTGGAAGAGTGGCTCACCTAGTAGAGGGCATGTCTAGCAAACATGAGTCCCTAAGCTCAAACCCCAGCACTGAAAAAAAAAAAATTCCTTCACAGAAAATACCTACACAGCAATTACTGCTTATCAAACCATTGGGTTTCCAAGCTGGTGGAGTGGCTCAAGTGGCAGAGTGCCTGCCTATTAAGCAGGAGCCCTGAGTTCAAACCCCAATACCAAAAAAACTACGAACCCCCTGTATAATGAATATTTCCTAATAAAAATTTTATTTAAAAAAAAGCCTCTGGGCTCCAGTGGCTCACACCTGTAATCCTAGCTACTCAGGAGGCAGAGATCAGGAGGATCACATTTCAAAACCAGCCTCGGCAAATAGTTCAAAAAACCTTATCTCAAAAAAACCCGTCACAAAACAGGGCTGGTGGAGTGGCTCAAGGTGAAAAAAAAAAATCCAAGTTGACACAAAAAAATTAACCATCACAGAGGTCACTGATGAAGTTAAGAAGACTAGCTTCTACTATGTCCCAGTGTCCTAGAACGGTACTTACCACAATACATATATGTTGAATAAATGTATTTTTTTGAAAAAAAAAAAGTCTACAGTCAATGTGGATGAGAACTAACCAAAGACTGTCAAATAAAGTTCTGGGTTTTGAACTTGGGGCCTACACCTTGAGCCACTCCACCAGCCCTTTTTTTTTCCTGTGAAAGGTTTTTTTGAGATAGGGTCACGTGAACTATCTGCCCAGGCTGGTTTTGAGCTGTGATCCTCCTGATCTCTAACACCTGAGTAGCTAGGATTACAGGTGTGAGCCACCACCCAGTGAGGTGAGATTTTTCTTTCTCAGCTCCCTCCCCGCTGGGCCACAGGCTAGTGAAGGTTGCATTTCACCTTCTGGCTACCACAAGGTACTCTTTCTCTTTGCCTCTTCAGGCCAACAGGTAGTAAGGGCTCTCCATCATTGCTAGCTCTAGGTGCTTCACCAGCTCTGGGTGGTTTCCTTCTACCCTGCTTACTCCTCTGCAAAGAGTTCCTTCCTTAAACTCCTCAATTCCACTTTGAGAAGCCATCTTCCTTCCTTCCTCCTTTCCTTCCTCCCTTCCTCCTTCCTTCCCTCCCTCCCTACCTCCCTTCCTCCCTTTCTTCCTTTCTCCTTCTTTCTGAGAGAGAAAGAGACTGGGATTTGAACTCATGGCTTCACACTTGCAAAGCAGGTGCTTTACTAGTTGAGATATTCCTCCAGTCTGTTTTGCTCTGGTTATTTTGGAGACAGGGGTCTCTCAAGCTCTCTGCCTGAGCTTGCCTTGAACTATGATCCTCTGGATCTCAGCCTCCAAAGTAGCTAGAATTATAGGTATGGGGCACCAGCACAAGGCTTTTTTGTTTGGTTGGTTTTTTGTAGTAATAGGGATTGAACTCAGGGTCTGGAGATTGCTGGGCAAGCACTCTAACACTTGAGCCAGCCCTTTTGCTTTTAGTTTGTTTTTTCTGATAGGCATTGCTAACTTTGCCCAGGCTGGCCTCAAACATCAGTCTTCCTGGGATTACAGGCATGCACCACTACTCCCAGCCATATGTTTCTTAGATGGGCTTGTAATGATATATAGTACACCAGGAGGTTGAGTGACTTACCCAAGGTCACACAAAAAGTAAGTCTGAGTACTGAGAATCCCCACTCTAACACAGAGAAAAGCAGCCTTGTCAACCTACCCAGCCCCCTCCACAATCCCTGGGTCTTGCCCAACCAGCTGGAATCTGTGATCCCTTTGTTGGAATGGGATTGAATTCCCTGAGCTCCTGTCCCAGCCCTGGCCAACAACTCCAGTAACCAGAGCTGTGTGAGAAGAAAAGGCCACGCCATTGGGGCAGCCGCACCCGACAGAGGTGAGGTCTCAGGTGAGTCATGCCAATGAGGGGCACCTTTTCTGTCCCAAGGGTCACTGCTCAGCCCAGCCCTGCTTTGCCAAGGACCCAGTATACTGGCCTCTCAGCCCCCGAGCTGTCCTCTTCTTTGGCCTTTGCCCACAGGGTCCTCCACTCTTCCTTCCTTCCATTTGATAGGTGTCCTGGAGCTAGGACACCCCCCACTCCCAACCACCCTGGGTCTCCAGAGAGGTGAGATGCGCTCAGGGCTCTGGGTGGGGCCTTTGGGCTCCCTACTTCCCCTTCCAGTCCAGGATCCTCTCAGATTCCCAGAGATGGGCTCTAGCCAGGGAGGGTGGGGCTGCTCCTGGGACCATCAATACTCATAACCGCCTCAGCAGTGAGAAAACTGTGGTAGGGAGCATACTGTCACTCATCTCTGCCTCCAGCTGACTCTAGTGTGCCATGTACCAACATTTGTTCCTCCTGGTAGTCATAGGTAACGTCAGCGGACAGCGAATGGTGGCAAGGAGCCTGGGTGTTGGCACCTGGGAGGCAGGATTGCTGGGTTCTTTGTGGGGAGCGGTAGGGAGAGGAACTGTATATCAGAGGCCTGGGTGCCATGCAGCAGTAAGGATGGGTGGGGAAAAAAATCCAGGAGGACATCTAAGTGCAAATCTTCAGTCTCTTCTGCCTCACTTTGTCTTCCCAGCCATCAGTCCCATCCCAGGAGCCTTCCAGGACTCAGGTAAGACAGCTGGCCTGGGGAAAAGTAATATGCACAGTCAGGAAAACTCGGTGGGTATGTGTGTGTGGGCAGGATAGTCTGAAAGGCCAGAGAACTAGGAAGATATGGATGGGTGGACTGCAGGACAAAGAGGGGTGAGCAGCTCAAGGCTCGAAGTTACCAATATCTTCCTCTTTTTTCCCTCGGGTTCCCAGATCTCAGTCCTACCCAAGAAGAACCTGAAGATCTAGGTAAGGAAGAGGCCTGGGCACCCTGGGATCTTAAAAGAGGTTAAGGCTGGCTAGGCCCAGGGAGGTAGACTTGTCCAGAAACAGCCTACCTAGGTCCTCTCTGTTATTTGTTCAGAATGGTAGACTGAAGTAGGGTGGAGTATGGACTTTGAGCTGAGTTACCTGGGCCTCTTGGAGTAGGGGAACTCTACCTGGGCTTGACCTCCAGAGGTACCCATTGCAGACTGTGGCCGCCCTGAGCCCTCGGCCCGCATCGTGGGGGGCTCAAATGCGCAGCCAGGAGCCTGGCCATGGCAGGTGAGCCTGCATCAGGGAGCGGGCCACATCTGCGGGGGCTCCCTCATCGCCCCCTCCTGGGTCCTCTCCGCTGCCCACTGCTTCGTGACGTGAGTGTTGCCCTCTACTACAAAGGCCAACCCAACTCTACAGCTTGGCCCCTCTCCCTACTTTCCCTTCCCGCGGAGCAATTTCCGCTTCGCGTCCTTATCCCCCAAACTAGGTGCTCTGAGAGGTATCACGGTTCTGGGTAAAGCAAAGCCTCCCAAAGATTCATCCTTTCACTCCGCCAAATACCCCCGAATCTGGATCAGTTTTCCAGTGCTTCGTGTCACCACCTCTAAATCGGATTCCCCTCCCCTCAAGGGTCTGTCTCAACCTCCTCCTCAGCCCCAAATCTGGATCAGACCCCACCTCCTCTTCCCACTCAGAGCCCCCACCACAACCCCCATGACGCCCTGCCCCTCCGTGGGGTCAACCTAATCCCTCCCCGCCTGCCTCGGCGCAGGAACGGGAGCCTGGAGCCCGCAGACCAGTGGTCGGTACTGCTGGGCGTGCATTCCCAGGACGGGCCCCTGGACGGTGCGCACGTCCGTGCTGTGGCTGCCATCCTAGTGCCACACAACTACACCAGAGTGGAACTGGGCGCCGATCTGGCCCTGCTGCGCCTGGCCAAGCCCGCCAGGCTGGGCCCCGCCGTGCGGCCAGTCTGCCTGCCCCGCGCCTCGCACCGCTTCGCTCACGGCACCGCCTGCTGGGCCACCGGCTGGGGGGACGTTCAGGAGGAGGGTGAGTGCTACAGCCGGGAGGCGGAGCATATGGTGCGGTCCGCGGGGCGTGCCCTAAAAGCTGCATCCCTCCAGTGGGCGTGGCATGGAAGGTGGGGGCGGGGCCAGGCGGGACCGGGCGGGGCCTGAGAGCACCTGTTGCTTCGAGACCACTGGAAAATTCCGCATCTATCCCTATCCGTCCTCGTCCCCAAGGGCTCTGAAACCGAGCCTACTGCATCACCCCCACACACCACTTTCTCGCCTCACCTTTCCTCCCAGGTTTTTCTTTTCTGGACTTAGGTCCGACTCGGGTTCCCATCCCAGCCCTGCTATTTCAGACAAAGCGTTTCACCCAGTACATTTCCTCTTCTGTAAAATGAGGAAAACAGTAGTGCCTACTTCATGGGCTTGGTGGGTTAATTAAATAAGAAAATCCATGTAAGGTTTGTAGCACAGTGCCTGGCATAGCCATAATGGATGCATTTCAGATATTTTTACCTGAAGTAAGTATGAAAGTGCTAAAGCACCTGGCATACAGTAGGCATTCAACAAGTTTCTGCCCTCCTCCCATCCATGCTTCTCCCTCCCATTCTTTCCGTACCCCCATCTTCCTCCCCTCCTCCTGCTTCTCCCTACTCACCTCGTTCATTCATTCTTTCCACAGAAGAGATTCCTATATGCCCAGCCCTTTGCTAGGCATTAGAGATAGACTAGTGAGTGTTCAAAACAAGTCCCCTGCCTTCTCAGACCTTGCACTGTGGTAGGTCAGCAAACAACGAATTCAATAAATAGGAAATTAGGGACTGGGGAAGTGGCTCAAGTGATAGAGTGCCTGCCTAGCAAGCGTGAGGCCCTGAGTTCAAACTGCAGTGCCACCAGAAAAAAAAAATCACATTATCAGTAAATAAGCAAACATTATGTTGGAAGGTGTGGCAGAAAACAGACATCTCTTCCATTCCCCATCACCCAATGTTCCTTTCCATGCTAGCAAAGCCACAACCCCATATATTCCATGTCTCCAGGGCTCAGACTGCCAGAGCCAGGAGACTGTGAGAGGAGATGCCACAGCTTCCGCCTGCAGCAGGTGTCCCACCAGGGTAGGAGGTAACAGGGAAGTCATCAAGAGCACCTCCTAAGTGTATGTGCAGGGCCCAAGCCATCCTGACAACGTGCCCTCAAGCAGGAGACTCCTGGCAGGCTCTGTGCAGAAAAGATGTATTGCAGGAAGAAGGGGAAGATGGAGAAGCCAGAATACCAGGCTGCAGTGACAGGGCAGAGACAACAGAGGCACCTAAGCTGCTGAGGCTGGACTATGCAGGCCTTAAGATCAGACTGAGGAACAGAGTAGCCACCAGCTTCAAGGGATCTCCAGGAATATCCCCAAACTTCCCTGGCTGAGTCCCAATTGCAGGCTCAGAAGCCCTGACCTCTCAGGATTCTAGGTGGGGAAGGAAGGAGCCTTTTTCTGCCCTTTATGGATCCTGAGACGTTGTCATCATCAAAAACAGAATACCGCCAGGCACCAGTGGCTCATGCCTTTAATCTTAGCTACTTGGGAGGCTAAGATCAGGAGAAATTCAGTTAGAGGCCAGCCTGGGCAAATAGGTTTTGAGACCCCCATCTCCAAAATAACCAGAGCAAATGGACTGCAGGTGTGGCTTAAGTGGTAGAGTGCCTGCTTTACAAGTACAAAGCCCTAAACTCAATCCCTAGTCTCAGTCTCACCACAAAAAAAAAAAAAAAAAAAAAAGCACACACATGAGACGCCAGGTTTAGACTGTGGGATCCATTACTATTCTTAGTAAGGTCAGAGCTGGGCAGTGGGACAGTCCTCTGGCAGTAGCAAGGATAGAGTGGGTTAGGCAATGGACCAACCAAGAGGCCAGGTCATTTTCCAGGCCCAAGATTATGCAGACTGAACTTGTGAACTCACAAATGACTTGGGAACTGACTAGGAAAGGGGAATGGGGAAAGGGGTCAGAGACAACACCCACATTCCATCCTTGGCAACTCAACACAGGACCACATCTAGTATATACAGCATCTTTGTGAAAAGGATGCGCTCTCTGGACCAATGTAGCATCATGTCAGGGCTCAGACCTTAATGATTTTAGCTCCTTCATATATCCATGGTTGGTACAACCACCATGCATGACAGCTTCCACAGGATGCTTGTGAGGCCATGCCTGAGATGAGAACATATGAAGAAAACCAAAAGGAATGAGAGGAGATGTGAGGAAAGTGATGGGCCAAAGCACCGCGGACCATCTTAGTGGAGCTATCCAGGAGGGTATCCACAGCTGTGGGGACAAAGCTGAACCCTGGGGTACTGGGTGCTCCATTCCTGCCTCATACTATCTGCTCACTGGTTCTTCCCTCAGACCCTCTGCCTCTCCCCTGGGTGCTACAGGAAGTGGAGCTAAGGCTGCTGGGAGAGGCTGCCTGTCAGTGTCTCTATAGCCGGCCTGGCCCCTTCAATCTCACTTTCAAGCTGTTGCCAGGGATGCTGTGTGCTGGCTACCCAGAGGGACGCAGGGACACCTGCCAGGTGAGGAGAGGCCCCTGCACCCACGGGGGCGGATTCCCTAGCCTATAGGAAGCAGCTATGGAATAGACAAATATCTCTCTGAGCTTCATCTGCAAAGTGAGGACAAGGGGCTGGGCGCCTATTAACCAATTTGTCCAGGGATCTTTCTTAAATGACACACTTTTTTTTTTTCTTGCAGTACTGGGCTTTGAACTCAGGGCTTTGAACTGGCTAGGCAGGCACTCTAGCACATGAGCCATTCCACCAACTCTTTTTTTGTGTTGGATATTTTCAATATAGGGTCTCACAAACTATTTGTCCAGGCTGGCCTTGAACTGAGATCCTCCTGATCTCTGCCTCCAAAGTAACTAGAATTATAGGCCACTGGTGCCCAAGTGGCCTATCTGTGCTTTGCCCAGTGAGGGATCCAGGCATTGCCACCACACCCAGCTCATCAACATGGAGTCTTGCTAACTTTTGCCAACTGGCCTCAAACTGGGATCATCCCAAACTCCACCTTCCAAGTAGCTAGCATTACAGGCATGAACCACAGTGCCCAGCTAATAACACGTTTTTTCAGAGCATGCATGGCAGTGGATTCAAACTAGATGGTCTTTAGGGTCTCTCCCAGTTCTGAGCTTCCAGGACCTGTGGACATAATCCCTGCCTTTTTTGAGTGGGACTACAGATAATTCAAATTCTTCTAGACCTGTGCTATCCAGCAGAACTTCCAGCTCAGATAAATTTTTCTATATCTGTGCTGCCCAGCATGATAGCTGCTAGCCATGTGTGGCTACTGAACATTTGAAATGTGGCCAGGGTAAAAAAAGAACAAAAATGCTCGCTTCAGCAACACATATACTAAAATTGGGATGATATAGCCTTGCCCCCGGGCAAAGATGACATGCAAATTCATGAAGTGTAGCCGGGCACCAGTGGCTCACGCCTGTAATCCTAGTTACTCAAGAGGCAGAGATCAGAAGGATCACGGTTCGAAGCCAGCTCAGGCAAACAGTTCAAGAGACCCTATCTCAAAAAAACCCTCCACAAAAATAGGGCTGGTGGAATGGCTCAAGGTGTAGGCCCTGAGTTCAAGCCCAGCACTGCAAAAAAAAAAAAAAAAAAAAAAAAAAACCAAAAATCATGACGTGTTCCATAGGAAGGAGGGAGGGAGGGAGAAAGGGACAGAGGGAGGAAACGAAATGCAAAGCCAGGGATGGCAGTGCACTATGTAATCCCAGCACTCAAGAAGCTTAAGGCAGGAAAACCATGAGTTTCTTTTTTCAAAAGAAAAAGAAGGGAGGGAGGGAGGGAGGGGGAAAAGAAGGAAGAAAATGTGGCTAATGTGATCGAGGAACCAAAATTATATTTAAGTTTAAATAGTGACATGTGGTTAGTGACTCCTATATTGGACAACATAGCTGTAGATGATTTTGAACCTTTTTTTTTCTTTAAAAGTTTTTTGTTTGCTTTTGGCATTACTGGGATTTGAACTTAGGGCCTTGTGCTTGCTATAGAGGCAATCTTCTTGAGCTATGCCCCCAGCCCTTTTTGTCTTAGTTATTATTTGAATAAAGTCTCCCTTTATACTGGCTGGCCTAGACCGGAATCCTCCTATTTATTATTTTGTGTGTGTGTGTGGTACTGGGGTTTGAACTCAGGGCCTACATCTTGAGGTCCTCCACCAGCTCCCCTGCCTTTTTTTGTGATGGGTTTTTTTGAGATAGGGTCCCAGGAATTATTTGCCTAGGCTTGTTGCAAACCTCAATCCTCCTGATCTCTGCCTCCTGAGTAACTAGGATTACAGCCTGAGCCACCAGTGCCTGGCTATCTAGCTATCTATTTAGAGATGGGACCTTGCTATGTTGCCCAGATTGGTCTTAAACTCCTAGGCTTAAGCAATCCTTCCCAGTAGTTGGACTGTAGATGCCCACCACCACACCTGCTCTTGATACTTTTTAAATTGCTTATTTCTGGCAGCCTCTTCCTCTTCTGGTATCTCTTTTTTTTTTTCAAATGATACACCTTGAATCACTCCACCAGCCCTTTTTGTGTTTGGTATTTTTGAGATAGGGTACCGAAAACTATTTCCCCTGGTGGCTTCCCCAAGATCCTCCTGATCTGTGCCTCCTGAGTAGTTAGGATTACAGGCATGACTATTTCTTTATTTTTAACAACTGGGTGGGTCTGGGTGTGGCAGAGCAAATGTTTAGCATTTGTGAGGCCCAGGATTCAGTCCCAGCTCCCTCCTAAAAAAAAAAAAAAAAACAGTTGGGTGAAGTTAGAGATCTTAAAAATCATAGACAGGTTTATTTGAACTATTTTTGGATAAGAATCATCCAGCTCTAAATAAGCCCTGTAGAGTTCTCTTGCTTGACCTTTAGTACATTAGTTAGGTGTTCTTGACTTTGGCTGCTCCAGCGGTGCCTTACAAAGCTTGCTTCTGTTCAGAGCTATAGAGAACATAGAAGGTAAGTCACACACTGCCAAGGAAGGAGAAAGTGGCTCTATGTTGGCCCAAAGTGTAAAACTTTTCTGTGAGTCCAGTATAAATTGGTGGGTCCTTGGGTTGATTCCCTTACAAAGTCGTCTATCATTAGGGTGACTCTGGGGGACCCCTGGTGTGTGAGGAAGGAGGCCGCTGGTTCCAGGCAGGAATCACCAGCTTTGGCTTTGGCTGTGGAAGGAGGAACCGCCCTGGAGTCTTCACTGCTGTGGCTCATTATGAGGCCTGGATAAAGGAAGAGGTGTCCAGCTTAGAGCCTGGGCCTGCCTTTCCCAAACAGCCCCAGGAGCCCCAATCAGGCCCCAGAGAACCCAAGGAGAACTGTACCATTGCCCTGCCAGGTGAGCGTCAAGACCCCTAAATGTAAGCTGGACATGGAAGGTTGGAGTTGTGGTGGAAAGGGGCTCTGGAGACCCACTGACCCGAGCTTCTCACCCCTCAGAGTGCGGAAAGGCTCCGCAGCCAGGGGCCTGGCCCTGGGAGGCCCGGGTGATTGTGCCAGGATCCAGACCCTGCCATGGGGCACTGGTGTCCGAAAACTGGGTCTTGGCACCTGCCAGTTGTTTCCTGGAGTAAGTGAGAATCCAGGTCCCACGTCTCAGGCAAATCCTGCCGCCCCTACGCCCCCCCCCCCCCCCCCGCGCAAGCTCCGTCGGCCCGAGACACATCTACCTAGCCTAGCCCTTGACAGGGGGATGGAGGAACCTAAATCTGGAGTGCGGAATCCAACACAAAGGTCTGGCTTGGGGGCGGGCATAGGTTCTGTCCAGCATGACAGATGTGTCTGATGGCACATTTCAGCAGGGTAGGGTGGGGGTGGGGTTCCTGCCTGGAGGAAGGATTGCAGCGCGGAGATGTAGTGTCTGGAGATGCAGAGTGTAAATCAGAGGTTCGAGGCTGACAGCCACATGTGCAGGATGCTGCAGCCTCCGCATCCCGCAGCACTAAACCCTTCCCGCAGCCCACCACCCCGCGACCTGGATGCCTGGCGGGTGCTGCTGCCCTCGCGCCTGCGCGCGGAGCGGGTGGCGCGCCTCGTGCCGCACGAGAACGCTTCGTGGGATGACACCTCGGACCTGGCGCTGCTGCAGCTGCGCGCGCCCGTGAACTTGAGCGCGGCCCCGCGAGCCGTGTGCCTACCCCACCTAGAACACTACTTTTTACCCGGGAGCCGCTGCCACCTGGCTCGCTGGGGCCGTGGGGGTGCGCAGGGGCCTGGCGCTGGGTGGGGTGGGGCGGAGCGGGACGGGACGGGACGGAGTGCGGCCAACTCAGCCCAAGCACCGGCTTCCGGCTTTTCCTCACTTAGAACCAGCGCCCGGCCCCAGCACGCAGCTAGAGGCCCAGCTGTTGAGCGGCTGGTGGTGTCATTGCCTGTATGGCCGTCAGGGGGCGACAGTGCCCCTGCCGGGGGACCCGCCGCATGCACTCTGCCCCGCCTACCACGAGGAGGAGGAGGCAGGTCGCTGCTGGGTGAGCGGCAGGGGCGGGGCCTGCGGAAGGCGGGTCTGAGTAGGACCCAGGGGGTTGGGGGCAGGGCTTGAGGCACTGGGCGGAGCGCAGGAACGTCGACCAAGCGAAGGCGGGGCCAGAACAAGCTGGGGGCGGAGCCTGACCCGGAGGACTTTGTAGGAGGAGTCCGAGGCGGGCTCTGAGCAGGTACTAAGGTTTCTCTCATAGCCCTAGGTTTAAGCAGTACCCTAAAGTGAGGGCTGAATTCTTACACAAGTTCGTTTTGGAGCCTGGCTTATCTGCGTGGGAGACTCTCGAGTCTAGGAAAGGCCCTGGAGCGCATGCTAGTAACGCACTCTTGTTGCAGAATGACTCGAGTTGGAGCCTTCTATGCCGGGAGGAGGGGACCTGGTTCCTGGCTGGAATCAGAGATTCCTTCAGTGGTTGTCTCCGTCCCCGAGCCTTCTCCCCACTGCAGACTCATGGCCCATGGATCAGCCATGTGACCCGGGGAGCCTACCTGGAGGATCAGCTAGCCTGGGACTGGGGTCCTGAGGGAGAGGAGACTGAGACACGGACTTGTCCCCCACACACAGAGCATGGTGGTGAGCACAGGACCCTTGAGGCTTAGGAGTTCCTGGGGGTGCTTAGATCCGTGGAAGGGTCTCCAGGGCTCAGCCGTGGGACCCCTACTCAGGTGGTCACTTCCTCTCCCTAGCTTGTGGCCTGCGACCAGAGGCTGCTCCAATGGGAGTGCTGTGGCCCTGGCTGGCAGAGGTGCATGTGTCTGGGAATGAAGTCTGCATTGGGATCCTCATAGCCCCAGGCTGGGTCCTGGCAGCCACTCACTGTGTCCTCAGGTGGGTCTTACTTATGTTCTAGGCAGGAGAAAAAAATTGTGAGACAGACTAAAAGACTTAAAATAGTGAGATGTTCTCCCCATAAGACACAATATAGTTCAGGGAAACTGCTGTGAGATGTTCTGTTGTTGATGTTTTAGTTGGATTGGCCTGTTTATTTGAGATGTTTTGCAACAGAAGAGAGATTTTTTTGTGTGTGAGAGAAGAGAAATTTGGAAGGAGGGATAATGAAGAAATTGGTGGTATGACCCTAGAGACCTATTCTGCCCTTTCCCCTAGGCTGGGAAAAACTTTACCAGCAATAGGAGGACCAGGAGGTGACATTGGTCCTTGTTTCAACAGGCTTGGCTCTACAGCAGTGCCTTACATTGAAGTGTATCTGGGCCGGGCAGGGGCCAGCTCCCTCCCACAGGGTCACCAGGTATCCCGGTTGGTCATCAGCATCCGCCTGCCCCAGCACTTGGGACTTGGGCCCACTCTGGCCCTCCTTGAGCTGAGCTCCCGGGTAGAGCCCTCCCCATCAACCCTGCCCATCTGCCTTCACCCTGGTGGTGTACCCCCAGGGGCCAGCTGCTGGGTACTGGGCTGGAAAGGCCCCCAGGATCGAGGTGAGAGCCCTGGGTCATGGGAATGAGGAGTGACAGGCCAGAACCCTGCGACAACCCTCTTTCCTCTCTCTAGTCCCTGTGGCTGCTACTGTCTCCATCTTGACACCACGACTCTGTCACTGCCTTTATCAGGGCATTCTGCCCCCTGGGACCCTCTGTGTCCTCTATGCCCAGGGACAGGAGGACAGATGTGAGGTATAGGGGCCTGAGCATCCTGGTTCAGGGAGGGGAGAGCCAGTGCTAGACAACTGGACCCTAAAGAGACCAGGATTGGAATTCTTGGGTATTGGGTTCCAAATGGGAAGAAGCAGTACATCTTGGCTGGACCTTGGAGAGACCAGGGATCAGGATGCGTAGGGCAGGTGCAGGGGATGAGGAGAAAGAGTAACAGACCATTTGGGTCTTTGCTCCAACTCTACAGATGACCTCAGCACCTCCACTCCTGTGCCAGACTGAGGGAGGCTCCTGGGTCCTCATGGGCATGGCTGTCCGAGGAAGCCGGGAGCTCTTTGCTGCCATTGGCCCTGAAGAGACCTGGATCTCCCAAACAGTGGAGGAGGCCTACTTCCTACCGCCTAGTGGCTCTCCCTACTGGTCTCCTGATGGCAGTGACCTCTGCCCCCCAGACATGGCTGGAGCCTCAGGATCCCCTCGGGTTGCCACTTTGTTCCTGTTGTTACTGACTCCCCTAATCCAGGGCTGAGGGCCTGGCACTCAGAGCAACTTTTTCCTGCCTGCCGCCCAGCAAGGTTGGAATGTGACCCAACCGGCTCGCTCCCCAACCTAGAGAGGGCTCCTGCACCAAGACTACAGCAGGCCTCAGATACTTGGGCCTCAGTGCTGGCTATTTTGGGCCCAGGAATCCATGGGGGTGGCAGAGGAACAGATAATAAAGGCGTAAACCCTAACACGTGGACTTGTGGCATCACTGGTGGCCTTGTGGCATCACTGGCAGCTGGTTGAGGGGCTGAGAGATCAGAGCTAAGGGTGAAGCCCAAGGGATGGGGCCCCTCCCTCCTGGTGAGTCAGGCCTTGGGCTCCCAGGAAATGTGTCCCTGATAACGTGGCACCTATTCCCTCATTCCTACCCCTGGGCGGGGGAGGTTAGGTGGACAGCTGATTGTGTGTCACCTCCCCAGTAGAATTAGTGTCCCCAATTGTACCTGCAGCATACCTCGACCCTGACTTGCTCCTCCCCTACAGCAGAAAAACTTGGGGTGCAAGAGCCAGTCCCCAAATACACAGTCTGATGAATGGTGTGCAAAATGTACACCCTTAGGGTCTCCAGCACATTCATATGACCCTTGTACATTTCAAGGACCCACCACTTGTATATCCTACACAGTACTCCTTGCATATAAATTTGGGCCACCTGCATATAAATCTCACCACCTCACCCAGCACTTAACTGAGTGCCTCCCAGCCTTGATCAACCAAAAGTATCAACCACCATGTGTCACATCCACAATAATCTACCCTACCTCTACCTAAACCCACCCAAAACTCCCAATATCTTGTACCGCCTTCCTGAACCAGCCCTCCCACATCTGCAGTTTCCTGACTTTCAGCTGGTCCCTGGAGTCCTGATGCCCAGTCTTCTAAAAAGAGGGTAGAGAAGTGAGGGTCTGTTTTTCCTCAAGCTTGAGCCCAACACATTCCAAGTGCCACGTATTTATACTGGCAGAAGATGTGCCTGGCTCACACGGGTCTCTTTCCCTGACCCTCTGCCTCCTGCAACCTCCACTTGAGAAGATAAGGTTCCCCTGGGATGCTGTTCCCCCTTTTTGCTGTGTTAACACTTTTCTACACCCCTTCGGGCTCAGTTCTTTACTGGGGTTTGAACTCAGGGCCTCACGCTTGCTTTTGCCACTTGAGTCACTCCACCAGCCCTTTTTTTTTTCTTCGAGATAGGCTCTTGCCAGAGGCTGGCTTCAAATTCTGGTTCTCCTCATCTCTGCCTTCTGAGTAGCTAGGATTACAGGTGTGAGCCCCAGCAGTTCTTAAGGCTCTTCCAGGAGGACCTCACCAGTTATGTGCAATTGCACCACAGTCCCTACCCTTGTCTGTCACAATTCCTAGTTCGAAATTATTTTATAATTGCTATGACTGTGATTGAAGTCTATCATCCCTAGTCCACCTCATGCTCAAGGAGGCCATGAATGGTGTCTGTTTTGTCTCATAGGCCTGGGGCACAATAGGCACTAGGTAAATACTTGTGGGATGGTTGTCATCACTAGACAGTGCTCACCACCCGAGGGAAGGCTGCAGGCTTTACAGAAAGGGCCTAGAATGGCCTTGGCCAGCAGCAGCTCCCAGTGTCCTGGGCTCAGACACCTGGCCTAAGATGGGAAGGAAAGAGGAGCTGGCTCCACAATAACAAAGGCTGGGCCAGGCCCTGGGGGGCATAACTGACCTGAAAGACCGTGGGATAGTTGAATGGCTGGTGATCAATGAATGGTTTGGGGGGTTTCTAGGCCTGCCTGGGGCTGCACTCCTGCTGGCCAGCCTTCACCCCATCCCCCACACAGCCTGGGGGTCTAAAAGGACTATGGACTCAGAAAGCCAGCAGAGCTTAGCCAGGAGGGCGGGACTAAGGGAGGAGCTGACACTCAGGGGAAGTATCTGCTTGGCTAGACTGAGCTGGAGTCAGGTTCTACACTTGTAGCTGAGGAGGCTCCCCCGGTGACCGCTCCCTGCCTGAGAAGCCAGCCTTGGATACCTGTGCTGCCTTCCCAGCCTGGGTTCTGGGATTCCTCATCTTTGAGTCAACACCTGGATCTTCTTGCCTTTGAAACATTCCTTCCCTTCTGTGCCTGGTGTCTCCTTCAGGGGCCAATGGTCCAGCAGGTGGGCCTGGGACCTGGGCAGCTGGAAGCTATGACCATTCTGCTCTTTCTTGGATTATTCTGGTTGGGAATGGGTGAGTACATATGAACAGTGTGGGAGCTTGGGGAGGGGGTCATGTACAGTGGGGAGCTAGCATAATCCTTTAGGAGGTCTATCCTTTCTCCTGGGCTCAAGGGTGTTCCCTAGCTTTCAGTCTCTCTCTCTCTTTGGTCTTCCTGGGGAAGCAGCCAGCCCTCTGGGGAAGTGGTAGGTACTGAGGGGTCTGGGAACTCAGTCTCCCTCCTACTTACCCCTCCCTCTTTCTCTTTCTAGGAGCTGATGGGGCTGAAGGTGAGGCTTGCTGGGAAAATGGGGAGTGAGATGGGGTGGGGGACTTGGATTCAGATTCCTTGGTGGGTTTGAGGAGTACTGACACCCTATGGGCTGTGTTGCTCGCACAGAGCTAGTGAGTGTGGGGATTATAGCCTTTGCTTTATGGGTAGAGAAACCAAGGTGCAGAAAAGCGGGTTGTCCCGAGGGCACGCAGCCAGAAAGTGGTATAGTTGCATTTAAACCTACTTCTGACTTCCAGAGTGAGGCACCTGAAGGTGTTCTGAGGGAAACAAAATTAGGATCTCTTTGGATGTAAACAGGCCAGCTCTGGGTTAGACTGGTTTTCAGTCCAGGCTGTGCCATTTATTGGCCACGTCTCCTCAGCTTTCAAAGCTCTAGTTTCTTCACCTCTAAAATGCTGATGATAAGGCTGAGGCTGGTGGCATGTCCCAACTGATAGAGTGCTGGCTTAGAGCACTCTAAGCAAGGCCCTGGGCTGGCAGAGTAGCTCAAGTGGTTGGGCACCTACCTGACATGCTTGAGGCCCTGAGTTCAAACTCCAGTACTGTACTGCAAAAAAAAAGCAAGGCCCTTAGTTCAAATTCCAGTACTGTTAAAAAAAATTAAATGTCCTGAGGCTGTAGTGGGGAAAACCCTTCGGGGCCTGGTCTTGTTGGAACACTCACTCAATAGTAACTATTGTCATGATTATGAGGGAGCAGAGGAGGAGGTGGCTAGCTGGCCTCCTCCTGGTGACTCTGTGAAGGGCAGCTGGGCTCTACTCAAGGGCTGGAACTGGCCTGGAAAATAGCTGTTCACACCCAAGTGAGCCCAGTTGCTGGTTCACCCACATCCACCACTATGTCTGCACACCTAGCCCTGTTCTGGGTGCCAGGGACGTGGGACTGTTCCTATAAGGCCCAGACTGGTGTGGTTGAATCACAGTCAGACACCAGATCAGTTGTGAGCCTGAGCAGAGCCAGGTCCCTGGGACTCTGAGGTAATATCTGACTCAGCAGCAGGGTCAGGGCAGGCTATGGAGGGTCCTCCCAGCTGTCTCACAGAGCAAGGACAGAAAAGGCACTCAGAGGGGAGCAAGTGGTTGGCCTGATGTGAAGAAGTGTCCAGAGGTCTGACTGGAGTAGACAGTAGTGCCATGTGAGGTCTGAAATGTATCTCAAGGTCATTGTGGCCAGATTTGTGGTTTATAAAGATTGGATTTGTGTGGAGTGGGTTGGCTGGAGGGCAGAAAGGCTTGAGGGGCTGCTGTGAGGACTGTATTAGAGAGTGGGTGGTGGACAGCAAGAGGCAGAACTGCTCACACCTGGTGTGCTTGCAGATTGGGAACAGAGGGGTAGCTATTTCCCAAGGTCTAAACACTGTAAGAAAGATTTCCCAAGATCTGTCATGATGGTAGGGCTGAGGCTGTGGTGTGGGAACCCCAGAAAAGCCTGACTTGACTTTCCCTTCCTCCTGGCAGCTGCCTGCGGTGTTGTCTTCCAGGCACGCATCACAGGTGGCAACAATGCAGCCCCTGGGCAGTGGCCCTGGCAGGTCAGCATTACCTACAATGGCGACCATGTGTGTGGCGGCTCTCTAGTGTCTGAGCAGTGGGTGCTATCGGCTGCTCACTGCTTCCCCAGGTACCAGCTGGGTGAGGGGCAGGAGGGAGTCAAAAGTGGGTTGGAAGACAAAGTTCATACATGGACCAGGTCAGGTCATGTAGTTGAGAGGTTGAGGTTCTTGAGTTGGGTCTAAGGAGATCAGTAAAAAATATGAAAGGGCCAGTCAGGTGAAAGGAAGGGGCTGAGGATCACAGGGTTAAAACTAGGTCTTGAAGGTGCTATCTAAGGTCAGAATCTGGGGTCAGATGCCACAAGGCAATTGGGATCAGGGAAGCGGGAAGAGCCTTTGCCCCTCTGCCTGCAGGGAACACTATAAGAAAGACTATGAGGTAAAACTGGGGGCCTACCAGCTGGACACCTTCAGCCAGGACGCAGTGGTCCACACTGTGGCCCAGGTCATCTCCCACCCCAGTTACCGCCAGGAAGGCTCCCAGGGTGACATCGCACTCCTGCGCCTCAGCAGCCCTGTCACCTTCTCCCGACATATCCGGCCCATTTGCCTCCCAGCTGCTAATGCCTCCTTCCCCAATGGCTTCCACTGTTTCGTCACAGGATGGGGCCATGTGGCCCACTCAGGTGAGGCAGACAGTGGGTACGGAGGCATGGAGGGGCAGCTGATTTCAGGTAGGAAGCCCTGGTTGAGTGCCTCTTGTCCCTATAGTGAGCCTCCAGACCCCCAGGCAGCTGCAGCAGCTGGAGGTGCCACTGATCAGTCGTGAGACGTGCAGCTGTCTGTACAACATCGGTGCCAAGCCTGAGGAGCCCCATGTTCTACAGCAGGACATGCTATGTGCCGGCTACGTGGAGGGGCGCAAGGATGCCTGCCAGGTGAATGCAGGGGAGCAAAGTGCATGTCAGGAGGTGGGGACTGGATGGGGCTGGTGTGGAGTACTGGGGTTTGGGGAATGATCCTAACAGCTGTGGTTTGGCTTTTTTCCCCAGGGTGACTCTGGGGGACCACTCTCCTGCCCTGTGGAGGGCCTCTGGTACTTAGCGGGCATTGTGAGCTGGGGTGATTCCTGTGGAGCCCCCAACAGGCCTGGTGTGTACACTCTGACTTCCAGCTATGCCTCTTGGATCCACCACCATGTGGCAGAACTCCAGCCTCGGGTAGTGCCCCAAACCCAGGAGTCCCAGCCTGATGGCCACCTCTGCAACCACCGTTTAATATTCAACTCTGCTCCAGCCCAGGGCTTGCAAGGGCCCATTCTTCTGCCACTGGGCCTGATGCTTGGCCTCTTCTGCCTTTGTCATGAGCACTGAACTACTCATCTAGAAGCTGACCCCACTTCTAGGACCGCCACCTCACGCCCAAGGACCCATGCCTGTCCACAAGGAGGGAACTGGCTCCTACTATACCTTCATCCCAGGGGGAGGCCAGGCACCATCCTGATCTTTGAGCCCATTTTTCTGGATTTCCTTTTTGGGACTATATAACCCTGGGTTAAGAGTTTCAGGGCCTGTGGTACTGGCCAGAACTTCTGGCTACCTCCATGTGCTGTCTGCAACTTATTGGTTGGGCTCCTATGGAGCTTCCAAGAAGCTTCCACCTGTTTATAGAAGACTGATTGTTGCTGAAGGCTGGTCCCAGGGCCCTACAAGCCCTGCCCGATGAGCCCATCACTGCCCTGTTCCCGTCTTCTGGGCTTGCCTGCCTTTGCCACAGGAAAGGGCCCAATCTTGCCTCATTGCTGCCAAGCTCCCCTTGAACCATGACTCCTGGACTCTGGAGGACTGAGCCCCCACCGGAGTTCGCTGGGGCTTGGGTCAGGATGGGGGATAGAAGCAAGGAGGAGTAAAATGTTTAAGCACAAATGGCTGTGTGTAAAGTGAAATGAAGACTAACACCTCTTGGCATCTCCCTCCCACCTCCAAAGTCCAGAACCACTGAAGAATTTACTTTATTAAAAAATGACAAAACAGGTCTGTACATATTTACAGGCTAGGAGCAAAGAGGCACGGGTCCAGCAGCAAGGGCACAGGTGTTCACTTCTTGGAGAGTTTGACTTGCTTGTGCTTGGGGGGAGCCCATTTGAGGCAGACAGAGTCCACTGTGGGAAGAAGAGGCTTGAGAGGCGGGCAGGGCCTCTTGGCCCAACCTGCTCACACCTGGCTGCTCTCTCTGGGCCCAAGCCAGGTTTCACCTCCTCCAGGTGAGAACAAAAGGGCAGCCTGAGTCCTGGGAAGGGGGCAGGGAAACCCAGGAATGACTAGCCTGCCCCAGGCTTTTGTCCTGGGAGCTGGTCTGACTGGTTTGGGATCATGTGACAGCAAAAAAAGGAGTCCCTGGCTGTAAGCAGCCTTTACATTTACCCCCAACACACACACACAATTGTGCGCATGCACACATGTGCACACACATGCATGCTGCGCAGCCCCCACCCACCTGTGATTGGTGGTTTCTTATACTGGGCGCTTTTGAGGTGCTCCTCCACAAGCTTGGGTGTGACACAGATCACATGCTGGCCCTTCCAGTATTTGACCATGTTGAGGGACTGCAAGGTACTGATGATGTCATTCTGGGTGATGCTGGTCATCTGGCTGTAGGAGGGATTAGAACAGATTCTAGAGACAGCAAGAGAGACTAGCAGACAGGATCCACATCCCATCTTAGGCAAGCCCTGCACTGGAAGGCTCCAGGATGGCTTTCATAAGGTCCTCAGTGGATAGCATGGCTGGGACCAAGACTCTCACCTCAGGTCCTTAATGGACAGTGTACCCCGGAAGTCTCGAAGGATCTCCAGCAGGACCCATGACCAGTAGCTGCGGTAGCTGAGTTTGCCCAGGTCAGACAGTGGTTTCTCTGGAGAGCCTACTGTGCTCTCCAGCTTTGAGAGCTCATAGCCTGGCAGGAACAGAGAGGGTCCTGAGGGGCCAGCCCCACCCTCACCACTGCCTGCACACACATACCCCATCCCCCACATAGGCCAGGAGCAACTCACTGAAAGCAATGAGAAACTTCCCATAGCCACGGCGCTGGTAGGGGGGCAGAGTTAAGATGCAGGCCACATTGTTTCCATCTGGGGACTCCTTCTCCTGCAGAAGGTAGGTTCTGCTCAGAACCTTTCTGGGGGCGCTTGGCCCCCACTCCAGTTTATTCCTCCCACCCACCCCAACCTGGGCTTCCTAATCCAGCACCTTGGAGAAGTAGCCAACGATATGGGCCCCTTGCCTGTCTACTTCAGTCAAGATGTAAAAAACGAAGGGCTCCACGTCGAAGTACAATGTCTTGTGGTCCAGGAAAAGCTTGGCCAGCAGACACAGGTTCTGACAGTAAATCTGAGGGTAGGGAGGTGAAATGGGCTCAGCCAGCAGTATACCACCCCTCACTCTGCCTAGCAGGAGCAGCCACTTTGCTACTCTGCAAGCGCCAGGCTTCGAAGAGCAGCCTGTGTCAGGCCAGTGGGAAGTAGACTCCTTACCAGAACAGTACTTAGAACTAGAAGGAGTCTCAGAGTCAATTCCCGGTGGAAAAGGAAGCTGAAAATCAGAGCCATTAGCACTAGATGAGATCATGAGAGCCGGGTTAATCACAGCTGCTGATTTGAGTGCTAAATGCAGCCAGGTATTTCACAGAACCAATTCCGTTCAACCTTCACAGACATTAACTTATGTTTCAGAACGGGAAACCTACAGAGGAGGTAGGCAGCTTGCCCAAGTTTCTGTGGCTGGTGACTGAGTGCTGTCTTGTTCCTAGCTGAGCCCCAGCACCTGGCACAAGGCTAAGCACAAAGCTAGCCTGACTCCAAAGCCTGAGCTGGCTGCCCACTTGGTCCCACTGTGCTGGGCCTCACCTAGATGCAGACAAGAGATCTCCTCTGGATCAGAATCAGGACGGACAATGAGATGCAGAGGTTGGCTTCATGGCATAGATTAAGGAGGTATCTGACTCGTGACTCCCTCTACATCTGCTTTTTCATCTGACCTAATAATTGTGTGAATCCAGTGCTGCTTGTCCCACTGACAGTAGAAGGAACAGGAAGCTCTGGGAGGTCAAGTGTTTTCTTGAGGCCAAGCTGGTAAGCATCCACACCTCCAGTGGGAACCCATTCTGTCACTCCACCCGTTCATGCTCAGTAGTGCAGAGCAGTGGGCAAGAACCAAGCTCAGAGTGGGTATTCCTTGAATAAAGGGCTAACTGAGCCCCAACAGGTCAATAACAACAAAGGCCAAAGCCCATATTTACTATCTAGTTGCCAAGTACTAAAACCTGACAATCTTTTATTTTTTTGAAGTACTGGGTGTTTGAACTCAGGGCCTCATGCTTAGTAGGCAGGTACTCTATCACTTGAGCCACTCTGCCAGCCCTGTTTTGTGTTAGTTATTTTCGAGATAGGGTCTTACAAACTATTTGCCAGGGCTGGTTTCAAAACACTTTCAAACAAGTGTTCCTCTTGATCCCTGCCTCCTGACTAGCTAGGATTACAGGCATGAGACACAGGTACCCGGCCCAAACCTGACATTCTTTATATTTGCGGTCTCATTTTTTCCACTGACAAGCAGATTAGGTAAATAATTATGACTCTTGTCTTATGGATAAGAAGATAATCAAAGTTAACTCTAAGGTCAACCGGAAGTGATGGCAATGTAAACCAGGAGCTGCTCTGAAGCCTGCCCTTTTTACCCTACAAACATGGCCCTTTAGACACTTGGTAAGACCTTTCCAGACTGAGCAGCAAAGGCCAACCTTTCAACAATGGCAAAGCAGGCCTCAAAGGCCCCCCTCCCTCCCTGCCCCACTGAAGTCACTCTGTCAGGAACAAGGAACTCAGTTAGCAGTAACCACAGACAAGACACAAAGCAGTTCCCTCCCAGGCAAACTAAACACATTCCTTCAGAAAGAGAAAGCAATCTACCAGCAGCCTCAGGCAAGACAGCCTCTACTCTGGGTTCCAGAACCACACAAACCTGAACTACCCCCCCACCAGAAGAGAAGTCCTCAGGGATAAGGGAGACCTGGCCAGATGTTGGTACAACAGGTACATGCATTCACTATGCTCCAAACACCTCCTCAGTCTTTTCCCAGGGGCCATACACCCCTGCGCTGGCTTTTGTCTAATAGCCAGAGCTCCCCCCACACAGTCCAGAGCCACAAACTCACCTTATGGTCTTTGCCATCTACCTCATACACAGAGATGTTGCTCTTGCGATATATCTCCTTTCCTGGAGGCTGCCGCCACTGACACTGACCCTGGAGATGGAGATGAGGAAGCACAGGTTAAGACACTTTAGTTCTGTGGTAGAACTGTGTGACTTGGAGCAAGTCTCTGCTTCTCTTTACCTATGCTCAACACCAGCTACAGTGAGTAATCCTCCTCCGTCTCTTCATCTAGGATAATAAGAGGGTGAAATAGGATCTACTTCTTAACCATGGCACAAAGAGGCTATTTGAACTCAAGTCTATGTAGGCCTGGCTCTAGAGGGCACCATCCATGACCCTGGTTTTCCTAAACCATATACATCTGCCTGTGATTCCATGCTTGGGAGAAACCCCATGTGCTTATGATAAGCATATGTACCAGTTCTTCTTGACAACCCCATATATCAGTTCTTCCCACTTGTCCACACCTTAAGGTCCCATTGCTCAGGGCTGTTGCCTCTTTTGTCCTGAGAAGCCAGGCTCACTTGGTAAAGGTGTGGTAAAAGGTAAGAAACTCAAGAGATTTCTGTCCCATTCCATAAAGGAGAAACTGAGGTCTCAAGAGGGACAGTAAATCAGCTAAAGTCACCCTGACATCAGTGGCAAAGCCAGGCCTGGAATCCCTCCTTGGGCAGCTCCTCGTACTAGACAACTCAGGACCTGCCTGTCCTCCCTGCTGCTAATGCTCAGATGCCCTCACCAGATGGAAGCGGTAGCTCTTCTCGTACTTCATGTACTTGAGGCAGTACTCGCAGAGCCATAGCTTGGGCTGCTTCCCATAGTCCTCGGGGAACGGTGAGAAGTACCAGGCATCAATTTCATAGTTCCCAATGTGGATCTTGTCCACATACTTCACCTTGGTGATCTGCAGAAAGTTGAGAGGAGGGGACAATGCACGGCTCAGCAGCGCCAAGGAAAGAGGAAAGGAGCGCCTACAATGGGGACCCGACCCCGCTTACCGCCTCATGTTCCTTCTCCAAAGCTGCTGTTGTGGGGTCCATCTCTGCATAGGTCTGAAGGAAAAGAGAAGTGGATAGAGCTGAATAGACCTTTGGGACAAGAGGGGCAGTCCCCAAACCACATTGCTTCCCTAATAACTTCTAAGCCTTATCCCCTAAATGACAATAATAACCACACAAATAAGCCAATTTGTTTTACCTGGCTGTGAAGCTGACGGGTGCAAGCTCCCCTCCCATCTACCCACCTACCCACACACCCAGGTAACCCTGATGCCTGAGTGTGAACCTTTTGCCAGATGAACAGGGCTGGGATGAGAAGGCCTGGGTCCAGCGTTTGGGTTGACAAAAGCTTTAGCTGTACGATGGGCAATCAGGCTCTGCCGAAGTTGTGGTAAGACTCAGATGAAATAATGGATCTTGTCTTCCATGTCCAGAGGAAGAACCTGCCAACTCCCCTGTGTGCTTGAACCTCCTTCCTGAGCACCAGACCTGAGCAGCAGCCTGCCTATGGGATTGCTCCCAGAGGTGTTTTCCACGGAGCAGCAGATGCTAGGTGCCCAGAAAGGACCTTGAAGTTCCTCGGCAGACCTGCTCCTCCTCCTGGGCCCTATCACTAGGGACATCACTGTTGGCCCAACTACCTAAGACTGCTCTTAAGATCCCTCCATCAGCCTGGCACCCAGTTAGTGGTAAAGTCCTAATAAAGTGAATATTGACTCTTAACTCCTTGACATCTCTCGAACTCTCCCCAACCCACTCCAAGTAGTTGCTGCCACTTCAGGTCTGGCAGTTGACAACATCTCCTTAGATTCCTGGCCTTGTCTCAGCCCCTCAAACACACAGCTATCAACACTCTCTTCTTTCAGCCTACATGCTTTTGCACATGCAGTTCCTTACACCTTGAGAATACCCTTCCTTCTCCTCATGCTGCTACAAAATGTTCCCCTTACCTGGCACTGAATGTGGGTCATGTGCATCAGTGACAGAGGAGGGCTTTGTGAGCCAGCATATGTAATTGTTTTTATTGTGCTCTTCCTGTCTTTCAAGGCCCAATGTCCTTCCCACTCCTTCTAGGAAGTCTAACTAGATTCTTCCATCTAGAAAACACTCCCAACTTCCCAAGTCAGGAGTAGTCAACACAAGATCCTCCAACTACTCCCACCTCATTTCTCTCTACTGTTCAAGTCCTCAGAAAGCAGAGACTAAAAGTCACATCATACCTTACTCCTGCCACATTCTGTAGGAATCAGGCACAGCCTGATAGTGGAGACCTACAAAGGTCTACGGTCTATACAGAAGTCATGGCCCTAGTGAAGAAAGGATCCTACACTTTACCCAGAATGCCCCTCCACAAAGCAGTGTGCCTATATGGCCTCAATTAGCCCTTTGAAAGAACATTCTTATTTCAATTTTACAGAGTAGTAAATAGAGGTGAGGTCACTTGCCCTTGGGGACAGAGTAGATGCCATTAATTCCAAATGACAAGTACTCTACAGACATTACTTCATTTACTCTTCACACTGAGAGTGTTTATTACCCCCACTGTAAAAAAGAGGAACCCGAGACAACAAAGAGGTAAGGTCACTTGCCCAAGGTCATAGAACTAGTACCCAGCAATTGGGCGCAAGCCCCTGGCCTGTCCAACTCTGAGCTTAACCACTACAAAGACAAAGATTTTCCTCCCCATATGTCTCTTTAAAATGCATTTCTCAATTCACAAAGCCCAATCCTCTCCTGCAAATGCATTAAAGAACTACAAAAACACTATTTCTCTTAAATGCTGTGATTTATTTAGAATTAAACATTAATTAGGTTCTCAAGAACCATGATTTTGTTATTTTATTACCAGTTCTTTATCACCAGGCACGGCCCATTACCACCCACCCTGCTGACTGCGGCATGGAGGCACATTTTGGTTCAATGTAAACTTGTTGGAGAACTAAAAGAATCTTTGACCTGTGCTAGCCAATAGAGCAGTTATGAGTCACATGTGGCTATTTAAATTTAAATTCCTTAGAACTTTAAAAAAATGTAATACTTAGTCACACTAAACATATTACAAGTGCTCGACAGTAACATGCCTACAGTGGTATCATAAGGAATGGTACAACTATAGAGCATTTCCATCATAGAAGGAAGTTCATATGGACAGTTCTGCCTCAGACCTGGAAAGGTCTTTCCAGTTTATGGTATTTAAAAAAAAATTTTAAGGAACTGTGGCTTAAGCAGTAGAGTGCAAAGCCCTGAGTTCAAACCCCAGTCCCCCTCACACACACACAAAAAGAAAGCATAGGAAGAAGCACAGTTGGCACTGTTAACCAGCTGACATGTCTGTGTATATCCATACAAATATCTGTATGTGAAATAAAAGTTTCTCGGTTTGTGAGACCCTATCTTGAAAACACCCAACACAAAAAATGGTAAAATGCCTAACAAGCGTAAAGCCCTGAATCCAAACTCCAGTACCGCCAAAAAAAAAATGATAATAAAAGTTTCTCAAAACAATACTTACCTTTAAGAAAGTGCAAGGCCCTCTGATATTTTCTACCTTATCCTATTTCCTTTTTCTACTTTTAGAAAATTTAAATGGTGGACACACCACTAAATTGATTCCACAACCTACTAATAGACTGTACCCCACAGTGTGAAAAGCATCACTGTACAGCACACACTGAGGGCTCAGAAGAACTAAACTGCAATGGCAGAAACTAATCACCACTTGATGCCTTCAGAACTTGACAAAGCCTGTTCTGGTTTGTGCTTACTTTACAAATCAAGAAACAAGGGAAAGGGGGGATTAAAGGAAAATGATGGATGAATTCAACTGTGATATACTTGATATAAGAACTTTTGTAAATGCCACAATGTACCCCCAACACAATTAAAAGAAAAAAAGAAAAAAAAAAAGTGAGTGCTAAAGACATGGTTCAAATGGTAGAGCACCTGCCTAGCAAGCACAAGGTCCTGAGATCCTGACTCAAAAGGGTAAAGAAAAAAGAACCCTGGTTTTGGAGACAAATGAACTGAGTTTCTAGCATATGTCAAAATCATGGTTAAGTTAGGCTCGGTGCTGAACAATCTAACTGGGTTCCTAAATCTATCACTGCCTCCCTGTAAACGAAGGATAACAGTGCTCACTGCACAGGCTGATGTGAAACATCAGTGAGATCACCTACTGAAATATTCGGCCCAATGCTGTGGCTCAGAGACCAATAGTGTTTGGCACATTATTCTAATTCCACCTTTTTACTACTTGTTTGACCCTGGTCATGTTACTTAACTTCTCTGACTGAGCCTACTTCCTCATTTACAAAAAGAAGTAATTATTCCTGTGGTGCTGGATTCTTAGGGAGGATGATGAGCTCATACATATACAGTATTCATCATGGTGCTTGGCAATAGCCAGATGTCCGTTACCATGCATCAACTCCTTCCCTTTGGACTTCAAGTCATTTTGTCTAATATGACACAACCATTAGGAGACAAAAGAGGTTATCAGAGTAGGTGATCTGAGCTCCAGATCCAGCTGTGCCATTCCTTGCTATGAAACTGTAGCCAAACCTTTTCCTTCTCTGAGCCTGTTTTCTCACCTATGAAGAGTAAATGAGAGACAGGTAAAGTCCCTGACACATGGTAAAAGAGAGTGAGAGGTGGGACTTGCAGTGGCTTTGCCTAAGAGAGAAGCAGGGGCAGCTGAGCCTCCTGGGTCCTGGGGAAGGGAAGGGGCCCGGACCTTCTGCACGTGGTTGATCTCATCATGCTTGCGCTTCTGGTTGCGAGTGATCTTGCGCTCAGGCTGCTCAGCCAGCTCACTCAGGTACTTCTCTGAGTTCTTCTGCACAGCATCCTTCACTGTTTTGGTCAGTGCCAGCCGGTTCTTGTCTACCCACTCATCCAGTCGCCTGTTAACTGTTAGGATGGGCCATGAGAGTATTGCCCTGCCACCTCCTCCTCCACCCAGACCCTGGGGCCCCAAAACACTCACAGCCCACATAGTGTACATAGAATTCCTCTCGGCCCTCCTGGTCATTTACTCTTGATTGGATCACTTCCGCAGAATCTGTGAATGAAAAAGGCCATGATCATCAAAAAGGGCTAGCTGGGTGCCAGTAGCTCACACCTGTAATCCTAGCTACTTAGGAGGCAGCGATCAGGAAGATCATGGTTTAAGGCAAGACTGTGTAAGATCCTGAGTTCAAACCCCAGTACCACACAAAAATAAATAAATAAATAAAAGGAAGAGCTAGAAGAGGAGGAGGGATTCAACACACTGAAAGGGCAGTTTTCAGATTCACCTGTCAACATCCATCAATGCATTTATTCACTGCCACAACCATTTTATAAATGAGACAAAAATAAGGTTACTGAGGGTTAAAGATTTGAAAAGTAATAGAGCTGATACTTAATGAGTTTAAGTCTGACTCCAAATTGAGTGCTCATTTTACTCAGTCATTTGGGGGAATTTTTTGATTAAGACCCTTTAGTCTATATACAATTCTAGCTCTCTCTATATGTAGCTGAGCAAGTAATTTTGGCTTTCTGAGCCTCAGTTTCAGGACTAATAGTGCCCACCTCAGAGAGTGAGATAATACCTTCAAAATGTTAATTTATTTGTTTTTCTTGGTGGGACTGGAATCTGAACTCAGGGCTTCGTGCTTGCAAAGCAGGCACTTAACCGCTTGAGTCACACCTCCAGCCAAACCTTCAAAAAATGTTAACACAGTGCCTAAAACAATCAGACCATTTAATGAATGACCATGCAACCACTGCATGTCTAGCTCTATTGTGTGTTGTTGCTGGTTACAGAGGACAGACAGAAGAACTCTATCTCTCCAGAAGTTCCCAGTTTGACAAGAAACACAGATTACAGCATGTTATATATACCATGGCTGAGGTATAAAAACAAAGTCACAGGAACATACAGATAGGAACAACTCACTTTGGCTGAAGGGGACGAAGAATGGGATCACACAGGAAATGAATTTAAAAGCTGGGTAGGAGCTAGGCTGGGGAGCTAAACTGGGAGCGTGGCTCAGGCAGTAGAGCACCTGCCTTACAAGCACGAGGCCCTGAGTTGGAACCCTAGTACTGTCAAAACAAACAAACAAATAAATAATACTAAAACGATGAGTAGGAGCTAGGCAGGTGAACAGGAGAAAGGAAGAGAAGGCAGCTAAGCAGAGAGCACAGGTAATAAACGGCATATGGTCTTCAGAGGGACCTGCGTATCCTGATCTGGCAATGGTCTTTGCTAGAGGTGACTAAAACCGGAAATATCTCAGAAATGAATGCCATTCTGAGCAGTTTGGGGGTTACTCTGAAGATAAGGAAAGGTAATGCGACGTAAGAAAAGGGGGAAGCTTGTTTTTGTGTTCCAGAAAGTCCTCTTTGTTGGCACTGTAGGGGACGACAGAAGGCAAAGACGCTGAGACAAAACGAACCAGTGAGGCAGCAGAATTAACAAAGAAAGAGAATGAAGCCTAACACGGAGCAAGAAGATGGAATGGGTGCTCAGTACACACTAAGAATTTGGTGCCCTTACTGGTGGCTTTGCTGTAGGCGCCTGGCATAACCCGAGGATGACAGCCTACTATTAACTTGGGCTGGTTTCTCGGCGCCCGCAATTCAGCGTTCTTTCCTCAAGCCTGGATCCCACCACCCAACACTCCAACTTCCCAGCCTCCGGAGGACCCATCCCTAGGCCCCGCCCACAAGCCCTGAGCCCCGCCCTCACGCCAGGTGCTATCTGGACGCCGGCACAGATACGTTTCCCCGATCTCCACTGTGACTTCTGGCTCGCCGCGCGCTGGAGTCGGCGGCGAGACGCGGCCCGGGGATGGGGCAGTCCCTTCGGCCTCTGCATTCTCCCCGGGCCCGGGCTCGCCTTCCCCTACGACCCCCGAAGTAGCTGCAGCAACTGCCGCTGCTGCACCCTGTGCCGCCATCGCGGTAGCGGAAGTGACGCCAGAGTTTGGCGCCATGCAGGTCTTTTACCGCCGGGTCAGCGGTGCGTGAGGGCGTAACCTCAGGCGTTGGGATCGGGATCTATGACGTGGCAGGAGCTTACTGGTTCGTGCAGTTGACTACGCGACGCAGCAGGTAGCTGGAAGCTTGTTTTGGAGATGGGCTTGAGTTCCTTATTTTCAGTGTGGGACTGTGGTTACAACCCTGAGATGAGGAGCGGAGACACTTTCCTAGTGACTGAGATGATGATGAGAAAGCCAAGACGTGTCCGTTTTCAGGAGCCTCAGCTTAACGGAGCGGAGCCGATTCTCGAGTTAGCACTCGCCCCTGCACTGCCTACTGCACCAGCTTAACAACGTCGCCTCATCTTTGCTTTTCTTGTTCAGGGTAGGAAAAAGATGTGTTCAGGAATAACCAATGAATGAACCCTCAGAATAAGCCTTTCTAAGAAAAGGACGGGACAATGGAAATGGTGAAGTGTCTTGGCAGTAACTGAGGAATCGAATTCTGACACTACCTTAAGATGTACTACTGTGTAGACTAGCTGAGAATCGGTAAAGGCAAGTCTTAATTATAGAACCATGAAGAACTATGTAGCTACATCAAAGTTAAACTATATATGAAGCCGAGCACCGAGACCAAATCTGGTACCTAACTCCCTATTTAACTTCACATGACCCATGTTCACAACAATCAGGTGAAGTATGTTTACTCTCAGTACCAGAATTTGATCACTCAAAGGGCGTCAGAGCAACCACCCCCTGTAGCCTGTCCACTGTGTACCTTTTTTAGAAACTGCAAAATGGGTAAACAAACCAATGACAAGAATAGCCCAAGGAAATAATGACCCTTGTGATTAGGATTAGATGTGCAGTATTTGACCACAAACCTCCACCTGTGAGATAGTTCCCACAAATCTGTATCTCGTCTCCTATATAAACTGCTCCTAAATTGACTCCCTGGAAAGATGGTACTTTAGGATTAGGGATGAGAATCCCTGCCACCTCCTGACCAGCCAGTTTATGGGAATAGACTTTTCTCTATCACCCTCTTGCCTCTGAGCTAATTGGCTTCTCTTGTAGGGAGCAGACCCAGCCTGTGTGTGATAACACATTCAACAAATGTATTGCATAGTGCCAGGGAGAGTAGGTAATAGTAAACCATTAATCATTCTTCAGAAGTTTTTTGATTTACAATTTGGTTGTTGGGCTTCAAAATAGTTCTAAGAGGGATGGAATGCTCAGGACCCAAGGATGGAACTCAGAGATTACAGCTTGGGAAACATCTGAGAGTTGAGTGATGGCAGTAGGAAGGATTGGTAACTTTGGTTTTGGGAAATGAGGGTTTTTTCTTTTTGGGGTGGGGGTCAGTGAATGCCAAATATGTGGCAGTATAAGGAACAAGAAATAAAAATCAGATAGGAAACAAAGTTGTAATGCCTCCTCCTACTTCAGTCCCCCACATTTAGAATTGTAACTTCACACCCAGGGTGATGCCTTATACATCACCTAGCACCTTGGGTTACAAATGATGTCCTCCCTAGTTAAGGATTAGTTTAGGCCTAGTAAATCCCTGATCAGGGTCACTGCATCAGTCTTCTCACTATGCTCCCTCTAGTCAAAGGCCACCAATGGTTCTTTTTAAATAAGAATAAAAATTGTTCAATAGTAATTACTTTTAGCATTTAAAAACATAGGAAGAAAACAAGAGGGTAGTTCCTAGCTTGCCACTTAAAAAGTAAGCTAAAGCTGAGATGAGGAAAACTATCAGATAAAACACCAGTGGTTCTTCTAACATGTAAGTCCTAGATCTACAGGAACTGCACCTGGTCCTTTTGTTTCTGTGTACCTAGATTACCTTTGATGTTCTTTTGAAGGACATTATAAGCCATAAACTAGTTGATCAGAAGGTGGAAGACTTCTTTGACAACTGCCTGAGGGTTTTTTGTTGCATGTGTTTGTCTCTTGATACAAGGTCTCACTGTACAGCCCAGACTGACCTTGATCTCTCTAGCCTTCACCTCTTTAGTGTTGGGATTTACATGTATGTGCCTGGTTCTGACAGAAAAAAAAAAAAGCTTAAAAACAGTTTTAGCCTAGAGGTTTAAATACTTTCCCAGCCCCTCTTCCCAGTGAAGACTTTAAGAAATAATTGTCAAGTGAAGGACTTAATCAATTACTGTGGTGCCTTTTTTTTTTTTTTTTTTCCAGTACTGGGGCTTGAACTCAGGGCCTACACCCTGAGCCAGTCCACCAGTATTTTTTTTGTGAAGGGTTTTTTCGAGACAGGGTCTCGTGAACTATTTTCCCGGGCTGGCTTCGAACCACAATCCTCTTGATGTCTGCCTCCTGAGTAGCTAGGATTACAAGTGTCAGACACGGGCACCCGGCATTAGCTCTTTCATCTCCACCTCTAAGGCATAATTTACTGGCTTTGGGCTTATGACAGTACTGAGGATTAAACTCAGAACCTCACACTTGCTAGGCAGGTGTGCTCTACCACTTGAACCATACCCCCAGCATGGTTGTGGACTTTTGACAGAGACCACATCTACTCCCTTTTGGAAGGCTTTTTTTTTTTGGTTCAGTGCTGGAGATTGAACCTAGAGCCTCTCACACTCTAGGCAAGCACTGTACCACTGAGCACATCCCCAGGCCTGGGAACACTTTAACAAATCACTTGGACACAAATCCTTCTCTCAAGGTCTGTTTCTAGGAAATCCAACCTGAAACATTCCTTCTCAGGTTAAAATCCATCCATGGATCCCGACTGCCTCCAGGGTGAGACCTGTGCTCCAAGCCCTGTACTTCTGACTGCTGCCTACCTCTCCAACTTCATCTCTTGGTACTACAGACAGCAGGATTTTTTAGCAACACACAGCATTGTGGTTCCCCTCACTTGCCATTTGGCCTCCAGATACAAATTCCTGTCTTCCTGCAATTCATTACTTCCATCGCCCTGAGAAGTAGCAGATAGTAAAGGACTAGAATCAGCCTCAGGAAGTTGTCAGGGCTCAGACGTGAAAGCAAAAGACAGATGTCTGGCTTTTTCCCCAGTACCACCAGGGCTCAGGCTTAATCTGACAAGGTGGGTAGGCTATTCCCATTGGGGACTTTCATGTGGAGTTCTGCTTCTCACAGGAAGCTGTGCCTCAAGTCTAACCTTGAGCCCATCTGCTATCTAGGGTCCTCTTTTTGCCCAAGTTTGTTGCTGTCCCTACCAGAGCTCCACCGGACAGCCAAGTCTCTGTTGGGGCCTGCCAGCACACAACCTTATGTTCCTTTTCTTGGCAGTAGCAGCAGCAGACGACAGCTGGCAGGCATTATTTTTTTTAGGTAGTCGCTCTACCACTTGAGCCACATCTCCAACCCAGGCAGGCAGTATTTTTAATCTTACTCAGGCTCAGGAATCAGGTGATTCAGGAGATTGCCCAGTCTGGTGACCTTCACCTTTAAAACCTGTGAATGCCAGAGTCAGAACTGGAGCCTGAAGCTGGGTCCGTCTGGGTCTCCAGTATTGCCTAGGACCCAGAAGCATTTGTTAAAAATGAGCATAAGTTGCCAAAATCACCACCACTCTTGCCAAATCAAACAGCCAAACAACTTTGGGCCAATTCTACACCTGTCTGCCAGGCTATGTAGACAGTTAGAGCCTAGAACATAAATCAGTTAAATCCAAGGGCCCAGGGAACCTGACAGGCAGAAACCAAAGCTCACCTGCCTTCCCCACAAATGGGGCCCAAAGGGGCATTTAAAATGTGAACTTTAATAAACCGTAGGTCAAAGTAGAGCTTCCCCAAGGAAAAAGAACCACAGAGCTGGAGCTAGAGGCTTCAGGGATCCCTGCTTCCTCCCCTCCAGGAACTGGAGGAAGCAGCAGGCCCCATTGAGGAGGAGTGGCATCCAGCTCCATGTGAATCCATCTGGGGCCCTGAGACCCAAGATGCAGCAGTGTGTGGAGCAGACTTGGCACCTGTCTGACCCAGGAGGTCCTGGCAAGGAGTGTGGCAGGTCAGATTCGGAAGCTCTCCTCCCGACCATCGATGTGGCGGAGCCGCAGGTAGACATCTGTGCCAATGCCCTGCAGGGACTGCAGCTGCAGGGACCCACCAAGGTACTCTGCATAGGCCCGCGATGTGGGCAACCCGAAGCCAAAGCTGGGGGCAGAGGGAACAGGATAGGAGCCTTCAGAGGCCTGAGCCTCCTGGCCACCCCCACCATCCTGGCCAGGTGGGGTCTCACCCGTGCATGGGTCCTGACTGGCCGCCACTGTGCATGTCCAGGTGGCCGAAGAGAGGACTGATCCGGGGATCCTGGGTGCTGGCCTCAGCAGTGGTGAAGTGGTAGTCCATGACCCGATCCAGGTCTTTGTGAGCAATTCCTCCACCCCGGTCTGAAATCCTGGCAGGATGCCAATAACACTGGCTTGGATGAGGTCTGATGGGTCTCACTACCTCCAAGAAGACAGTGCTAAGTCTGACTTCTTGTTCCCTCCATCCAAGGTAGAATGTGGTCCACCTAGCCCTTGGGGCCTTGTTTGTTTATGCTACCTTTCTCTATCCTCACCTTGCCTAGACCATAGACTGCTTATCCTTCCCACAAGATTTGACTTTTATTCTTGGCCCAGGATCAAAGACAGTTTCCTAACTCTAGGCCCTAGATCCATTAATATTCAGCTCATAGCAATCCCAGGACTGGAGAATTATCTTCTCTCACCAGGGTCCAAGACCCAGAGTGGTGAGGGGAGACACGCACGTACTGGCTCAAGATTCTACAGCAAGTCAAAAAGACTGCCTGAACCCCATCCACCCCAGCCCAACTCCACTCAGGGCAAACCTGATGATGAGATCAATATCATTGTTGGCGATGGTGATGACCACATCTGGGACATTGTATGGAGTGTCTAGGTGACTCTCCATCGTGGCTCTATGCAGGAGGGAAAGATCAGTAAGTGGTGGCACCCCAGTTCCTGTCTGCCTCTATCTTGTGTATCCAGCCTGCCTACCTCATGGCATTCTTGAGCAGCTCAGGCAGGATATAGTCCAGTGGCATAGGAATGAAGGGGAAACGGGCAGCCACATGTCCATTGATGCGGACACGGGGGGCATTGCCATACTTGTGTTCACACAGGCGTCTGTGGAGAGGAAGAGGGTTCAGATAGGTGCCCTAGGAGTAGTGGTGCTCAGCTGCAGGTGATTCTGCTCCTTGCAGGGACATTTGGCAATGTGCAGAGACATTTCTGCTTGTCACAACTGGGGGTACTACTGGCATCAAGTGAACATAAGCCAAATGTTCCACTAAGCAACCTAACATGGGCAAACGGCCCCTACTATGAAGAATTACTTGCCTTAAAATGTCTAGTGCCCAGATTGACCATGGCCTGACCTAGACCATATCTCAGGCAAGAACTCAGACCAAAGCCTTCCCTTGCCCAAGGCATTCACTCCCTTGCCCATTCCAGCCTCACCTTGCAAAATCCACCCACTTTTCAATAATCTTCTTTGGTGAGAGACGAGTACAGATGATGCCAACAAAGTCCGGCTAGCAGGAGAAAGAAAAGTCAGGATTGACAACCTCCACCTCCATCTCGGCTGCCAAATACAACTTCTGGAAGGCCACAACAGCCCCAGAGCCTCTCCCCTAGTCTCTTGGCCAGGTTGCCAGCCTGGCTCAGTTTTTCTCCCTGCTTAGCACTCCCAGGCAGATCTCAGATCTCTGAGCTGAGCCCCACCTTGTCCTCATGCAGCGCCAGGTGATGAGTGGCCAACATTCGGATCCCAAGCCTTGAAGTCAGCGTTTTGTCCAAGAAGTAACGGACCAGCTTTTCATCCTGCAAGGATTGGGGCCTGAGAAATTGTGTACTCCTTTCCAGTCCACCCCGCCACTTTGCTGGGTCCCTGCTTCACTACCCCTGACCTCTATGTGCTTCCGGCTCTCACGCAGGCCCTCAGCTAAGAGGGTCACCACATCCTTGTGGTCATCTAGCAGCTGTCGCACCAGCTGACAATACTGGGCCTCGTCTGCCTGGTCCTTGATCTGCAGGTCATAGAGTCATGAGCACAGGTAGTCCAACCCTGACCTCTTAGCCCCTCACCCTGCTCAGCCCAGCCTCACCGGAGGGAAATCTGTTAGCTTCTGGAAGGCCCGGATGTAAAGTTCATGCTGCAAGGAAAGAGGAATTCATAGGGATTATCATCCATGGAGATTACCACACAACCCAACACATATGGTCCAACCCCCCCAGGGTGACTGTGCCAGCCTTCATGAATATATACCCTTGGTCTCTGAGGACTTGGGGCAGAGCCCAGCATGGCCCTGACAACCTTTCAGCAGGCAAGTCTCTGCCACTCTGGGCCTGGGCTCTCCATCTGCCCTTGGGCAGTGTGCACACCGATCTAAGGTCCTCTGCCTTACCACATGCAATATCGTGGGGTTACAGCCAATGATGAAAGGAAGGCTACGAAAGCCCTTGATGCGGTGAGCGATCCTCACTGGCAGCTCTTGCTGCAGGTACCGGCCACTTTTCTACAAGAAAAAAGAGAGAAGGGACCTGAGGGGCTAGCTAAAGCTCCAGAAGCCAAGGGAAAATATGGTACATGAATCTTACCAGAAGGTGGCTGCCATCCTGAGAGCGGCCAGAATAGAGCATCATAGTGGGAGTGAGGCGGACTGAGGGCTGGAGAGGAAAATTAACCTTGAGCACTGGGTCTTCAACACTCTACCCCCATGTTAGCTCAGCTTTTCCCTGTACACCCACCCATCTGGTTCCTGACCCTCACTATTCACCCCAGCTTGTGCACCTTCTCTGCTGCCACGTCAATGGCTGACTGGTTGTAAAAGGACGTGACGGTCTTGGAACGCTCCCGAGCCATCTCCACTTGGTGTGTATCCGTGGCTGATGTCGAGCGAGCCCGGAGTGAAAGTGCAGACCCCAAGAGGGGCCGGAGTGAAGGCCCGCCCCGAGGGCCACTCCCCAGCACTGATGCCAGCATCATAGTCCTGCTCCTTTGTCGGACTCGGCTGCCACTGGGGCTGAGGACCCGACAGACAGAGGTGACCCCCAGATGGGGCAAGGGCAATGGGTGGGCAAGGGCTCTTCTTTGCTTTCACGGTTGAGAGTCCGTCGAGGATGCAGACAAGCTCAGCCTCTGCAGAGCAGGTCCCATCTACCAGAGCGGAAAGCGGGGTTTGTAAGGATCCGAATGCAGATAGCCTACACCTCTTCACGTGGGCACCAGTAGCCTCAAGACCTGGGCGATCTCAACCACCTCCCCAAAAACACAGGCCGAGTCTGGACAACCTTGCTTTCTGAAGGTCCTGTTTTTCAACCTGAGGTTCTAGCTGCTAGTCTTGGGGCAAGGGTGAAGAATTCTCAGACCCGTCCTGCCCGAAAGCCTCGCCCAGGTTCCCTCCGATTTTGAGCACCCAGGGGGCGGGGCTGACCCCTACTCTGCGCCATCCAGATTCGAGCCCCGGAGCCCGGCCTGCGTACGTGCAGTACTGCACTAGGCGCTGCAGCGAAGGGTGCGCTGAGGCTACGGACCTGGAATCCCCGTCTGAGCTCCGCCTCCACTGGGTCACTTGGTCCGGCCCAGATCCCTGCATATGGTAGATGCCAGTCCCGTTCCCCCACCCCGCGCGCCCATGCGCATTCTCGGGCAATGGGTGAGGCTGCGATGTGTACGCGGGGGCTCCACTGGCAGGTTCTGCGCAGGTGCTCCACTTACCGCCGGGCCTGAGCTAGGGTCGGGGTCCGAGCGGAACCTCTTAAATAGTCGAGCGGCTTGGCTAACGATCCGCCTGCGCCCTCTCCCGCCGTGACGTAACGAGGGCTGTGGACGCTCGCTGCCTCCTGGGAATTGTAGTTTGACTCTGAAGACTCTCAACCAGGACTCCATCCGGTCTTGGCTATATTCCTGCTCCCAACCCTCTAGGTAAATGTGACGGCTCCCCCCAAGAGAGCTCCCGAAGTTACCTGGGGTCTGTCTGGGACTCTGTCTTCCCTTCATTAAGTGGGGAAACCTGGGAGCAAAACGCCAGCGAGTGGGAAGACCCTTAGATGTTAAGCACACAGATCAAACCCTACCTGGTCCTTTCTGTGAATCTCTATCCAGCTCTTGGTTCACTGAGAATCTAGACTGCCTTGTTCAAACCCCAGTTTGGCACTTTACACCTGAGGCAAGTTAGTTAACTGCTCAGTGCTTTAACTTGGCATTGGTAAAATAAAGATGTGTTAATCTTGGGGTTGTGTGGATTACATGAATTTATATATGTAATGTGCCTAGAACAGTGCCAGCACAATACAGTGTCAAGTATTATTGTTATTGTTATTCATACCTGCAGAGGATGCCAGTCACCCTAACTAGGTGACTTTTCTGTGCAGAGGAGGAGATTGGGTGGGGAAAAAAACAAAAAAAAGTTCCTTTTACTGTCCTGAAGAGGAAGGCAGCTTAGATGTGATCTGCTGTGATGAGGGCCTCATAGGAGGCTAGGGGAGCCACAGGTAAGGACTGGGTACAGGAGCAGCATGAGTAGGACTTTGCCAGGCAAGGAAGTTGGGCAGAAAAGCTATGTCAGAATAGAGAGCAGCCAGGATGGTCTGAAGATATGGCTGGAGGTATATAGAACCTGGGAAGAAGGGCTGCATGGGGTGGCAGCCACTCGGGAAGGGTAAGAAGCCTGCATTTGCTCTGGGGGAAGTTAGGAACCTCTGAGGGGGTTAACTGTGGACTCTACTCCTTAGACAGAACCCTCTAGCTGTAGTGATTGGAATGCTGGAGTTTGGTGTGATCAAAGGCAGAGAGACCAGTGAGAAGACATTGCTTTATAGGCAGAGGAGGTGCTGGGAGACTTTTCAGCGTGTGTGTGTGTGTGTGTGTTGACTGGATTTTCTTTATTGTGAGTATATATTTTCCAAATATTAAAAATTTTTTAAATAAAAAGTGTTAAGTAGAGAACATTCTTGGAGGCTGTCTTTAAACTTACAAGTGGGACCACTCACTCAATGGCCTGCCTGAGGAATTGGGGTAAGGTCTACATGGACATCTACAGGACTCCCTGAATTTCTGAATTTCCTCCTTGCTCCCTACCCCCAACTTCTTTTCCAACTTCCTGGCAACATCTGGAGGCCATTCAGCTCCAGAGGCAGGCATAGCTTTAGCAAGTGGAGGAAGGGAGAGAAAAGGGTGCTCCTGGAGGGGAGGACAGAGTGCACCAGAAGCAAAGGACTGGGACTACTTGTTGGGCGCTCACGTGGCTGCGACGTGGACAGAAGTCGCAGGAGGCGGCTGGAGCTTCTGGTAACCATCTCACCCCATTTGACCTGGTGCACTTGACCAGCGCCTGGTCTGAGCTCGCTGCTGCCTCCCGCGGCGGAAGCTGGACGCGCACCCGCGATCTCCGGTTGAAAATGCAGTATATAGGGAGCTTAACCTTGGTCAGGCACACTCTGAAGCGCTTTGTATGTATGGATTTCATCTTTATATCTATACTCTGCGGCTGGTTCTATTATTATCTTCATTTTACAGATACAAGAACTGAGGCCCAGAAAAATGAAAAGACTCGCCTTCTTTTCTTTGTCCTCATTCCCCACATTAATTCTCCTCTGGCCACACTGGCTGCCCTATTTGTTCCTGAATATACCAGGCACATTCCACTTCTACCTCAGGACCTCTCACTGTCTGTTCTCTACTTTTATTTTATATGTAGACTTTTTTTTTTTTTTTTGGACAGCGTCTTCCTGTCAAACTCAGGAGCCTTCTGCACCACACCATCACACCTAGCTTTATCTGTAACACTTACTACCACCAACAACATACTATATATATATAGTATGGTATATATATACATATATATATATATATACACAAATATATATATTTGTGTGTGGTACTGGGGATCAAACCCAGGGCCTCATGCTTGCTAGGCAAGTGTTTTATCACTGAGATACACCCTCAGCTCCCATATTTATCATAATAATTGTTCATTTTCCCCTTCAACAGTATAATACAGGAACACAAATATTTGCCTGCATTACTGATTTATTCCAAGTTCCTCAAAGAATATTTGGCACCTAACAGATGATCAATAAAGGCTGGCAGAGTGGCTCAAGTGGTAGAGTGCCTGCCTAGCAAGTGTGAGGCCCAGAGTTCAAACCCCTGTGCCACATTAAAAAAAACCCAGATACTCAATAAATGCTAGTTAAATAAATATTAGGTTTTGTTCTAGAAGCTATTGAAATGAGATACTATGGAAAGGCAGAGGACTGGTGTGATGGTTCATATCTATAATCCCAGCTACTTGGGAAGGGGAGGCAGGAAGATCACAAATCTGAAGCCAACCTAGGCAAAGTTAGTGAGATCCTATCTTAAAACACAGGTCTGAGCCAGATGCCTGTAATCCTAGCTATTTAGAAGGCTGAGATCAGGAGGGCTGCAGTTTGAGAGGCCAGCTCAGGCAAATAGTTCTTGAGACCCTGTCTTGAAAAAAACAACACACTCTTTTTTTTGCTGCCAAAAAAAGAAAATACCCAACACAAAAAAGGTCTGGAGGCATGGCTCAATAGTAAAGGGCCAAGTGTGAGACCCTGAGTTCAAACCACAGTATCTCTCTCTCTCTCTCTCTCTCACACACACACACAAACACACACACAACACACACAGCCACCAAAGTATATTAACTCATCATTCTGTCTTTTTTGTTTGTTTTGTTTTGTGGTCCTGGTCTTTTGGTTGGCAGGACCTTTACCACTGAGCTGCATCCCCAGCCCTGTGTCTTTCTTCTGTAGTCACATTTCTTTGTGACTTTCTTTAGACACACTCTTTCACTTTTAAACACCCTTGATTACATTGGACCCACCCAATAATGTAGTATAATAGCCCTATTTTTATTTATGTATTATTTTTGATGGTACTGGGGTTTGAACTCAGGGCTTCACATTTGCTAGGCAGGAGCTCTACCACTTGAGCTATTCTGCCAACCCTTTTTTGGGTTGGATATTTTCAAGATGAGGTCTTGCAAACTATTTGCCCTGACTTTGAACCTTGATCTTCCTGATCTAGCCCTCCTGAAGTAGCTAGGATTACAGGCATGAGCCACCAGCAGCCCGCATACCCCTGTTTTAAAATCAGTAGATTAGGGGGCTAGAGGTGTGGCTCAGATGGTAGAGTGTTTACCTAAAAAGCTCAAGGCCCTGATCTCAAACCCCAGTACTGCCCCCCCAATAAAACAAAATAAAAATAAAATCAGTAGATTAGAATATTTAATTTCATCTACAACCTTAATTCCCTTTTGCTGTATAACCTAACATAGTCACAGGTGCCAGGGATTAGGACATCGACTTTTTTGGAGACCATTATTCTGCCTACCATGCGCTCTGGAATAAGTAGATCTTTCAAAAAAGAAAAAAGAAAAGAAAAGTAGATCTTTGAAGGGGTAATCGCAGAGCAAGAAGGGTCAGCAGAACAGCGAAATATCACAGAAGGTAGAGGAAGATAGCATCTGGGAGGAAGTGCTGGACAATGACTGATACTTTTCGAAGGTCAAACAAGACTTGAGAAATAGTCATTGGACTTCGCGTTCTAGCAACGCTAGTCACTAGTTGTCGGGGGAGCATTTGGGGCAGAAGCTAGTTTATGACACAGGCAGCAAGGAAGAAGACTGAACGGGAGAATGAGGATAATAGCAGAGAGGGAGGTGGTGAAGGAACTTTCCTTGTAACTGTTTCTGAGACAGGAAAGAGAAGTACGTTTCCTTGCCGATGGGAAAGAAGAGGGGTTTGAAGGTATAGAAGAGACGGGTCATCATTACATGGGAGGTCTGTAAAAGGGAAACTGGGTTGATCCAGGCTCAGGTTTTGCCGAAGTGTCAGAGATGTGGCCAAGGTAAAGGAGTTTATTGTGAGAACGAAAGAGACCAGCCGACAGGGGACGCTGGCGAGACAGGAGGGAACTGCTGAGCTGCCAGGGAGGATAGAAGGCTATATAGCCCAAATATGTCTGAAATAATTTCAAGGGAAAAAAAATAATTTCAAGGGAAATGCTTTCTTCCTGAATCCGATCGCAGCATTCGCAGGATTCCCTGGTCCGCTGGTCTCTAGGTCCTAAATATGCTAATGCTTATTAGAACAGGGCTTGGCATACAGAAAGCGCTAAATAATGTTAGTCGTATTTTTAAAACTCTGGAGACTCCATTTCCCTTGATGCCTCTCTGACTACAATTCCCATCAAGCCCTCCAGGCTCCCTGTCTGCGTTTACCCACGTACGGTAATCCAGTTTGCTGCACAGCATTCCGCGCTGTTTTTCTATCTTTCGGTCTCTCCTGCTGAGCGCCAAGAATAACCAATTGGATCGGGAGGACGAGACCAGGCAGTCCAATCGCCCGACCCCAGGGGCGGGAGAGGGCGTGGCCTCAGATCGCCCCACCCCTGCTCCGTGGCTGTTTCTGGTCTCGGTGATGCGGCGGGAGAGAACCGTAGACATGGGCCCCACCTGGAGGCGCCCTGGAGGGGTGCGGCTTGCGCTCTGCCTCGCAGGCTTGGCACTGTCTCTTTACGCGCTGCACGTGAAGGCGGCGCGCGCCCGCGACCGGGATTACCGCGCGCTCTGCGACGTCGGTACTGCCATCAGCTGTTCGCGCGTCTTCTCCTCCAGGTGCGCTCAGAAACCGAAATTGTGGGGTCCCGGGGACCGGATATGCCTACTTGATTGTGGAATCTTGGATCGTGGTGTTCCGGGAACGGACACTTTGAAGCCGGATCCTCAAGGGGGCGAGTCGAACGTGCACTGGGACTGAGCCACCCAGAAATACTGGTGTTTGAAACCAAAGTGCGGGGCAGATAGCGTTGGAGTCTGGGGTCTCACGTGCAGGCGACAAGATGGCTTGCTCTGGCGGTGCTTGAGAATCAGGGGTTAGTGGTTAGCAGGATGACGGAATACTAGCAAGGGAGTGGGTAGCCACGGAGCTGCAGATTTGTGGGTCCGGAACAAAGACCGGTAATCGTAAAGCGGGGTCAACCGTTATATCAGCCTTACCATTTTTAAGGAATTATTGGACGCATACGGTGAAAAGTGGGGCCTAAGGGGCATGGCCAGGCCTGTCCTGGGGGGATAAGGGAGGATAGGGGACAAAGACATGTATTCCTGACGTGGCCAAAGGTGTGGGAGGCCAGGAGGTCATCGACCCTTGCATTCCTGGTGGGCGGGGAATGGGGAAGGGAGACAGCCCCAGTGGCTTCTTGGAAATCACCCTTCCGGGACAAAGCCCAAGGCATTAAGTTGACACTGCTAACCTGGGTCTCTCCACCGCCTCCAGGTGGGGCCGAGGCTTCGGGCTGGTGGAGCATGTTCTGGGAGCCGACAGTGTCCTCAATCAATCCAACAGCGTATTTGGCTGCATTTTCTACGTGCTGCAACTGTTGTTAGGTAACTGGCTCCTCCCCTTCCCTGCAGGCCCCGCCCTTTCATAACCAGCCTCTTCCCCAAGGCCCTCCACCCCACCCAAGGCATGTCTGGGTCTTGGTGACCCAGACAGCTGACGGCCAGCTGCTTATCACCTAGCTAGCATCCTTAGGGCAAGGAGGCTGGCAGAGAGGGAATCAAGAAATCTGAGCTGGTTTAGGTAGTGTCAGAGGCTGAAGGGCCTTTAAAGACTTCTAGGATTCGAGTTTTTGGGAAAAGACTCAGAAATTCCTTTTTTGAGGAGAACCCAAATATGACCTGTCATGTCATGTAGAGCTCAACAGGAAAAAAAAAAAATCACTATTTGGGTCCCAGGGATCATTGATAGGGAACCAAGGTCTTGGAGGAGGGCCTGTCAGAATCTTAGATTCAACTTTTTTTTTTTTTTGCAGTACTGGGGTGTGATCACAGGGCCTATACCTTAAGCCACCCCACCAACCCTTTTTTGTGAGTTTTTTTTTTCAAGATAGGTTTTCAAGAACTCTCTGCCTGGGACTGGCTTTGAACCATGATTCTCCTGATCTCTGCCTCCTGAGTAGCTAGGATTACAGGCATGAACCACCAGTGCCAGTCTTCTGTACCAGGGTTTGAACTCAGGGCTTCATGCTTGCTAGGCAGGTACTCTACTGCTTGAGTCACACCTCCAGCCTCAGAACTGTTTTAGAGACCTTTCCCAGTAGCCCCTGGTGTCAGTAGCACCAGGAATTCATGGCAGAGTTCTAGATGAGGCCATTCCTGACCCTGTTATTTATTTATTTAGTTTTTTGCTTTACAGGTTGTCTGAGGGTTCGCTGGGCCTCTGTCCTGCTTGTGCTGAGTTCCCTTGTGTCTCTGGCTGGATCTGTCTACTTGGCCTGGATCCTGTTCTTCGTGCTCTATGACTTCTGCATCGTTTGCATCACCACCTATGCCATCAATGTAGGCCTGATGTTGATTAGCTTCCGGGAGGTCCAGGAACCCCAGCACAAAGCCAAGAGGCAGTGAGGCTGTACCCCTTGCCAGGCTCACCTCACCTGCTTTGCTTTTGTACATGAGCCTTGCCCAAGGGAGCCATGTCCAAGGGAGCCATGTCTGGTGTCTAGAAGGCCCTGCATCCTTTACTCACCCTCTCCATAACCATACACAGGACAATGGACCAAATGTGCCTTTAGCTCTGTCCCCAAGGACTGGTTTCCGCCATTGTCCAGGAAGGGAAAGTTCTGAGCAATAAAGTGTTTTAAGTTGGTCAAGTCTGCACCATTGTCTGCCAGGAATCCTGGTGTTGGGTTTCCCCCAAGTGTTGCCTTCTCTGGAACTGGGAAGGATGAGTCAGAGAGAGAGTGGAGGGCCTGCCTGGGAAGGGTGGCTGTAGTTGGTGTCATCCTACAGTGTGTGGAGTCAGCAAGGCCTGGGGTGCTATCAGCCCCCACCTGCAGGAAATAAACTGGCTGGCAGCTTGGCCCTGCTGCCCACGGGAGCCAGGCATCCTCTCATGGGAGAACCCAGCATGCACCTGGAGGCCAAACTACTCCCTGACTCTATGCAAGTTTTGGGAACTTCTTCCTGTAGTTCAACCTTAACCCCTCTGACTACCTTATCTACCATCTCAAGCTGGACTCAGTGGCACTGGAGACCAGCGCTAGGTTGTGTTTTTATTTATCCTAATGTGTACTGAGTACTTGCCTATAAGCCAAGCATATTTAGGAACACAGGTTAACATGGGTTAATGCATTTAATCATTATAGCAATTGTAAAAGGTAGGTACTATTATGGTCCTTATCTTTTTTTTTTTTTTTTTGGCAGTACTGGAGTTTGAACTCAGAGCTTTGCATTTGTTAGGCAGGTGTTCTACTGCTTGAGACATACTTCCAGCCCTGTTATCCCTATCTTCATGAGGAAACTGAGGTATAGGCTAAGTAATTTGCCTAAGATCTCACATCTAGTGCTGGGAAGGGGTTAGAGAGATTCAGATTTTTTTCCCCTGGTGTAGGATTTTGCACATGCAAGACAAACAGTCTACCACTGATCTACACCTCAACCCCAGATCTCAGCATTTGAATCCATTTGGGCCATCTGGCTGGCTCTAGGGTCTACACTCTAAACTCTCCCCACAGCTGTCTCTGTGTTGGGGTCAGGGCTCTTGGATGGTCTGGGCTGACCTGAGTTAAGAGTTGGAAGGAAAAAAAGGACGTACCTTGAGTATTCTTTCTTTCTGACTGAGAGGCTTCCAGAGTTTTCAAGAAAGGTGGGGACTACTGCAACCCTGTTTCCTGAGAAGGCAGATGGCCTAAAGCAGTGTTGGGATTTGTCAATAATTCATTACTACCAAGTAGCAGTGAGACCCAGCCAAGCCCGTAACACCTAGCCCTGCACACACTGCCTGTGAGGCAGACATGGGGAGGTGTATGAAACCTACCTGGCCCTGGCTTGAGAGAGGCAAAGAAGCTGAAAGGAAAAGGAATTCAGCAGGGCCTGCCTACTGTGCCCATAGAAACCCAGATGTGTTTCTGTGCTGGGAGCAAGTCCATTAAAAGCCAGGCCCTCATCTAAACATTTTTGGGTTTTTGTTTTTGTTGTTTTGAGAAGGAAGCTTGCTGTGTAACCCAGGGTGATCCTGCCTCAGCCTCCTGAGTGTTGGGATTACAGGTATGTACTACTACGATGGAATTTAAGCATTTTTTACATCCAACAATTCTGAGTTTTAGGACTGACAGAGTGGTGCAAGTGGTAGAGTGTTTGCTTAGCAAGAACAATTCTGAGTTTTTCAGACAAAGCATAGATTATCTGTGCAAGGTCACTTACGAAGTAAGTGGAGGTAGAGGAACTGTGATTTTTTTTTTTTTTTTTGTGGTACTAAGGTTTGAACTCAGGGCCTACACCATGAGCCAGTCCACCAGCCCTTTTTTGTGATGGGTTTTTCCAAGATAGGGTCTTATGAACTGTTTGCTCCGGATGGCTTCAAACTGTGATCTCCTGATCTCTGCCTCCTGAGCAGCAGATCGTGAGCCACCAGCTTCTGCAGGAACTGTGATTTGAACAGGGGTAGTCTGACTTTGTGACAGAGGCCCAGAGATGGATGGTAACAAGCCCAGGGTCACAGAGCCACAGCCCAAGAGCTCCCAGCTAGGAGCAGCAGTGACGCCTGACTCCCAGCCAACTGAGGGCGGAGCAGAGGTGGAGCTAGGGAGACCCGAGGGGGGGCGGGGGGGGGAGGGTGGGGTGGTATCTCAAGAACCGGAGCACAGGCGGCAGAGTGGCCTGGAGCAGCATGAAGCATAGCTGGGGACCAGGGCTGCTCATCTTGGGAGCCATGGTCTTTATAGAAGGTAAGACACCCATTGTGAGGGGAGTAGAGTGGCTTGGTGAGGATTCAGGGGCTGCCCTCTGCCCTGGCAGCCCTTGCAACTTGATGTGAAGGTCCTGCCTGTGGATGCTGGGTTGGTTCTGTGCGGGGAGGTACACGTGCCTGCCTGTGTCAAAATGGGTAATTTGGGAAGGCTGAGCTACAGTCTGTGTCTGTAGGGACTGCCACTGTGTCTACATATAGTCCTGCCTGTAGACTATATGTATATGTATCTTGCACCTGTCTGCCCCTCTACTTCCAAAAATGACCTCAGGGGAGTTCTGTGCCTGGGACTCTCCATCTTTTTTCCATTGCATCTCTCATGTGCTGGGGAAGAGGCAGGGCAAGGACCCTTTGGTCACCAACACTTTGGTTAGATCTCTGAGAAATTGGGGAGTCTGAGTTGTTACAACAGGGGTGGGGTAAGTCTCATCTCTTGGGGCCTACCCCATTTGGACATAATGCAGGCCTCTAATACGTCCTCTTAGGCCTCCAAGGGTGAAGGAGGGACAATTAAGCTAATGCTCTCTGCACACATAGACTGCCTCCCTGACTCAGTGGTGGGGGCTGGAGTTAGGGGTTCAGAAGCCTGGAGAAAAGCTGGCCTGGTCCCAAACTGAACCCCAGGTCCAGGACTGCTGAGCACAGCTGAGGGAGGAGAACTAATTACTGAGTGTGTACTTTGTGTTCCAATAAAAGCTGTTTCTTGGACTCATATAAATATTTTCATTCTGGGAGGAGCTGATGAGGTAGCCAGAGTCATAGGAAAGGACCCAGGGCCTGTCTCATCCCCTCTACCAAGTCAACCTGGCAGGTCATGTGCCCCCAAGTCTCACCTGTGTCTCTCTCTTCCCAGGTCTTCAAGCAGCTCAGCAAGGTAAGCTCTGGGAACTTAGGGGCCTGGGCCTTACTTGGGTCTGGGTGGGGCCTAGGGTGAGGGCAGGACAGGGGTCTGCTGTCAGCATGACTTGCCCCTCTCCACAGCCTGTGGGCAGCGTGGCCCTGGTCCCCCCGAGCCTCAGGAGGGCAACACGGTACCTGGTGAATGGCCCTGGCAGGCCAGTGTGAGGAGGCAGGGAATCCACATCTGCAGTGGCTCCCTGGTGGCAGATGCCTGGGTCCTCACTGCTGCCCATTGCTTTGAAAAGTGAGTCATGGTTGGGGTCACACAGGATCTCTGGCTTTGGGGGTGGATTTGTCCACAGCCACCACAAGACCGTTCCCTGTCCCTATAATTAAAAAAAAGTACTATTTATTGAAAATCTTCCATGTGCCAGGCACATATTGTCAAATTAATCTAAATAACAACCTTTCATGGTAGAAGTTTTACCATTGAGTAAACTAGGTTGAGAGAAGGGAACTGACAGCTGCCTCCTTCCATGTGTCTGGGCCTTGCCCTTCCTTTCCAGGGAGGCAGCAACAGAACTGAATTCCTGGTCCGTTGTCCTGGGTTCTCTGCAGCGTGAAGGGTTGAGCCCGGGGGCTGAGGAAGTGGGGGTGGCTGCCGTGCACTTGCCCAAGGCCTATAACCACTATAGCCAGGGCTCAGACCTGGCCCTGCTCCGGCTTGCCCACCCCACAGCCCACACACCTCTCTGCCTGCCCCAGTCTTCCCACCACTTCTCCTTTGGAGCCTCTTGCTGGGCCACGGGATGGGATCAGGACACCAATGATGGTAAGCACTATGCTAGACTAAGCCCAGAGAGGCACTCTTCTTGCCCAAGATCACACAGTCACAGCTTCAAATGTCCTGGCCCCATCTCACTTGCTTCCCAAAGCCTAGACTCTGGCCTCAGCCCCCATTTCTTTATTTTTGTTTGGGGGGGGCAGGGGTGGGACTCAGGGCTTTGTGCTTGCTAGGCAGGCACTCTACTGCTTGAGCCATGCTTCCAGGCCATTTTGCTTTGGTTATTTTGGAGATGGGGGTCTCAGGAACTATTTGCCTGGGCTGGTCTCAAACTATCATCTTCCTGATCTCAGCCTCCCAAGTAGTTAGGATTATAGACGTGAGCTACTGGTGCTCAGTTCAGCCCCCATTTCTTTTGCCAGCTCCCAGAACCCTACGGAATCTGCGCCTTCGTCTCATCAGCCGTCCCACATGTAACTGCCTCTACAACCGGCTACACCAGCGGCTGCTGGCCAACCCAGCCCGGTGGGGGATGCTGTGTGGGGGCGCCCAGCCAGGGGTGCAGGGGCCTTGTCAGGTCTGACTGAGAGGAAGAAAGGGAGGGCATAGCCTTGGGCTGGGGGTTCAACCCACAAAGATGGGAAGACTATAAATATAGGGTGTATATCTTCAGCTACTTTGCCTGGCTCCAGGGAGACTCTGGGGGCCCTGTACTGTGCCGTGAGCCCGATGGACACTGGATTCAGGCTGGGATAATCAGCTTTGCATCGAGATGTACCCAGGAAGACACTCCTGTGCTGCTGACCAATATGGCTGCTCACAGCTCCTGGCTGCAGGCGCGAGCTCAGGGAGCAGCCTTCCTGGCCCAGGACCCAGGGACTCTGGAAACCAGTGACTTGGACAGCTGTGTAGGTATGAACAGAGGGTGACGGAAGTGGGATGTGTGGGAACACCCAAGCCTACATGAGGACTTGTGGGCAATGGGCAGGGGCCACAGTGAGGCAAACTTCAGCTCAAGACGCTGAGCCCACACAATGCTAAGGGCTAACTAGGGGGTTTTATAGTCCCCTTTGCAGACACTGGAATGGGAACAGCCCTATGGGGGCTGAGAGGCATGGATGCCTTGGAGATTTATGGGTTTGGGGTTTAGGAAAGAAGAGGGATCTTTGAAATCTGAAGATTTTTGGGGGAAGCTGCATTTCCAGGCAGGAAACCAGGGAGATGAGACAGGGCAGGGCTCCCACTCAGATCCTGGCATAAGTGATTGACAGGCAAACTGCATGCAAAATTTCTGTGAAGGAAGCTATTTTGTGATGCTCAGAGAAAGCACTAGTCAGCCAGGAATTCTGGAGTCTGTCCAGATGGGTGGGGTAGGGAAGTAGAACAAGGGCCCTTCCTGGGAGGTTCTCAGACCACCAGCGTTAAAAACTTGGGTCCTGGCTTTTGAATCCCAAATTGGCTACTTGTTTTTGGCTACAGAGCTAGAAAGTCACTTAACCTGTCTGGAACTTCAGTCAGCTTTGTTAATGAAGATGACAGAAGTCAACTAAAAAAGGGTGTTAAGAGGATTTGATAGCAATTGGGAAGCTCTTAGTGCAGGCCCTGGCACTAAGCAAGCACTTAACAAGTCAGATGATGTAATCCATCTGTTTCAGCTTGTGGATCCTTGAGGAGAGAAGGTCCCCAGGCAGGAGCTCCCTCCCCATGGCCCTGGGATGCCAGACTGAAGCATCAGGGGCAGTTGGCCTGTGGTGGAGCACTGGTGTCAGAGGAGGTGGTGCTGACAGCTGCCCACTGCTTCATTGGGTGAGCCATGTGTCCCTCTTTGGTGCCCCTGGCCCTATCCCTGTTACCCAATGCTGTCAATGCTGCCTCCACACAGGCGCCAGACCCCAGAGGAATGGAGTGTAGGGCTGGGGACCGGACCAGAGGAACGGGGCCTGAAGCAACTCATCCTGCACGGGGCCTATACTCATCCAGAGGGAGGCTATGATGTGGCCCTCTTGCTTCTGGCTCAGCCTGTAACACTGGGCCCCAGCCTGCGGCCCCTTTGCCTGCCCTACGCTGACCACCACCTGCCTGATGGGGAACGTGGCTGGGTTCTGGGATTGGCCCGCCAAGAAACAGGTATGTATGACCGGGGCTACCAGCAGTTGTCCATCCAGCATAAAGGTTGATAAGGCAGCTGTCTTTTTCTACAGGCATCAGCTTTCCCCAGACAGTACCTGTGACCCTTCTGGGGCCAAGGGCCTGTGGCCGGCTGCATGCAGCCCCAGGGAGTGATGGCATTCCCATCCTGCCAGGGATGGTGTGTACCAGTGTGGTGGGTGAGCTGCCCCAATGTCAGGTGAGCCCCAGTTCCCCAAACCTTACCCAACAGACTTCTCACCCTACAGTTCATGAACAGACTTGCCAGGCTTGACCTCTTGCCCTGCCTCTCCTCCTGAAGCTAGTTCTGCTAACTAGCCCCCAAGTGTTAGCCCCCTAGGTCCTTCTGTCTTCCTTCTGCTGCCTAACAGAGGTCACCTAGTGTCACCTGAACTAACAGGGCCTGTCTGGGGCACCACTGGTACACGAGGTGAGGGGCACATGGTTCCTGGCTGGGCTGCACAACTTTGGAGACGCCTGCCAAGGCCCTGCGAGACCTGCAGTCTTTGCGGCACTGCCTGCCTATGAGGACTGGGTCACCAGTTTGGACTGGCAGGTCTATTTTGCTGAGGAGCCAGAACCAGAGGCTGAGGCTGGAAGCTGCCTGGCTAACTTGAGTATGTATTCCTGGGGTCTCCCTGCTGACCCTCCTTATCTATCCAGGGAAAGCAGTTCTGACCTACTTCTAACGACCCTGGGTGGGTGGAGCAGTGGACAGACCCATGTGGATTCTAGGGACCAGGCATCTCAACCTGACTTCAGCCTCAGTATCCTCATTAACCATGGGAGCCAAGATGGATCCTACTCCTTCAAGGGAGGGAACAAAGCTGTGAGGATGAGGCCAACCCCACCCTGCTTCCTCTCCTTGACAGGTCAATCAGCCAGCTGTTGATAGATGACTCTCTAGGCTGCTTACAGGATGCAAGAAAAATGAGGCAACTCCTGTCAACACCCTGCCCTCCTTCTCCCCGATGTGGGGTTCAGACCCTGGGGCATGCCCAGCAGATGCCCCCACTCACCACCCTGCAGGACAGGGATACTCCCAAGCTTAGCCCTGCTTTCCAGCACAGGTTCTCTGGCTCTCCTTAGCTTCCTCCCCTCAGAAACAACCACAACAGCTACCCATTTCAAAAATGTTTTTTGGGGGGAGGAGCAATTTTCCTTTTTTTAAAACTTAAATAAATTGTTACAAAATAGACTTTAGAAAATAAGTTACAAACTGTAGCAAAAGGCTCCCCTTCCACAGGCAGCTTTCCCACCTGTGATGCACTCTGAATCTGCCTCTCCCTGGTGCTGCAATCTGGCTGGTGAGGGTGACCCAGAAGCCTGGCAGAGCCTGCCCCTGGGAAGAGCAGGGTGACAAAGGCTGGGAGGTCCATCTAGGACAGAGACATGAGGAACATGCCCACCCCCTTCTGGGAAAAGAAGCCAGATCTAGGTCCTTCTCACAGGGAGAGGAGATGGGGATGCACAAGTGACTCCTGAGCGAAACATGAGTTCAAGACCCTCCCTGTCTGCACCCTTGTCCTCCAACGTTCTGTTCTTTGGAAACTTGAAGTTCAGAGGGAGAAGCTGAGGTCTGCAGGCCACTGGGGTGAAGGGTCCAGGACTGGGGGTGTGGGGGTGGGTGGAGGGGGCAGAGATAAGTCCCCTCTGTCTGCCACTGGTACCACTGAGGCTCCTGGGGAAAAAAGAGAGGAAGACACTGTCAGGGGCGGACCCCATACCTCTCCAGTCCAAAAGCCATTCCCCATGTGGCTCCAAGGGCCCACATGACAACCCAGAAGTTCTAAGACTCCCAATTATTTTCCCACCCCTGGCTAACTGGCTCCTCACTCATTCCCTGGAAGTTGCAAGAATCTTTCATCCTCAGTTGTCCCTTCAGCTCTCAGGCACTGCACCTACCATCCTCTCATCTTCCCCAGCAAATCTTGCCAAGGATTATCTCAGGGACACCCATCCTTGGTGGCTACCAGATGGAATGGGTCCTCCCCTCTGGGCTCCCTACGCCTCCACAGTCTCATTCTTCAATGGGCTGGGAGGTGGAGGCCAGACTACACTGAGATCTCCTCTGATAAAGAGGATGAGAGATAGGGGTTAATGAATGCTATTGCTACAGCTGGGCCTGGCTTCAAAGAAACAATTATCTGTGACTCATTCCTCCAGTTAGAGGTGTAGGGGTGTGCGTGTGTGTGTCCCTGTCCAGTGGAAAGAGTGGTTTGGCTGGCAGAGAAGAAAAGCGTTGACTCAAGGGAAGAAAAAAAAAAAGATGTGGGGCAGTGCTCACAGGAAAGGACCAATGGTCTTATTTTCAAGAAAAGAGGAGGAGCAGAGACAAGTTGTAGGGGCAGGGAGCTGAGTACTGATCAGTGACCCAGTTTCCATTGCCAAGTCAGCAATGAAGCCATATGGCAGTCTAGTTAGAGGAGGTCATGACTGAGAGGGCAGACCCCATCCTTTCCTCAGCCCTGCAGGCCATCCTCCCCACCACTACCCTGTATGGCAACCCAGATATCTTGGACTCCCAGTTACTGCCCACCAAGCCCCATTCCTCAGTCCCTCTCTATTCACTCTAGCAAAGAACAGAACCTAGACAAAATCAATTGCTTCACCTTTTTCTCTGTAAATCACTACTGGCTGAATCAGGAAGGTTTCCAGATGTGGTAGCCAAGTGGTACCCAGCTACCCACCCCCAACGAAACAAAAAGACTATTCCTTTTTGGCAGAAAGGCCCACACAGCTGCCTCTGCCACTGCCTACTGCTCCAGCCCACTGTGCTATTTCCCTGACTTGGGAGTTCCAGATCTCAGCTGCTCAAAAGACAGCATTTCCAATCTAATTTTTTTTTTTTCACTCAACCTCTTGGAATTCACATGACTCCCTCCTCTCCTTGCTCTTCCACCCACCTTAGGGACCAATCTCACGCTCCACTGTATGCCCACCTCCTTCTGCCCAGCCCATTTATGTCCCATACCAGAGCTTGCCACTGTCCATTCTTCCTGGTGCTGTTGCTGGTGCTGCAGGAAGCTGATTTGACGGCGGAAGTGCCGGGGACAACGGGGGCAGGTGAAAGGCCCTTCTCGGGGTGCATGGACCCGCCTGTGACCCTCTAGTCGGGCAGCTGTCCGGAAGGCCTTGCCACAGATGCTGCAGCGGTGGCGCTTGGGGTCCGTGTGGGTCCTGCCATGGTTCTTAAGAGACAGCAGGTTAGGTAGAAGTTTGGGGCACAGAGAGCAGGGATAGAGTCCAGTGGTGTGTGCCTTCTGATGGTTCAGCAGGCTGCCAGCATGGCGGTAGGAACGTCCACACTGGGCACAGCGGAAGGGCCTCTCCTTGTCTTCAGCTGCTGTGGAATTTACTCCTTGCCCTCCACTATCTGGCTCACCATTCTCTCCTGGGGCTCCGGGACCTGGTTCTGATAGGGCCTCTTGAGCTTTCCCTGGACCAGGGAGACCTACCTTGTCCTCTACAGTTCCAGTCTGGGGACCTTTGGCCTCCTCTATCTGACTTGGTATCTGACTCTGGTCCCTGGCATGAGTCTGCAGGTGTGTGGCCAGTTCATGGTGGCACTGAAAGGTCTTACCACAGTCAGGGCAGGCAAAAGTCTGGGCAGGTATATGGTTGTGACTATAGCTCTTAGTGGCCGCAGGATTTAAAATTTCCTTGGAGCAGAGCAGGCAATAGTGGCGGTCTGTCTTGTGGGTGTTATGGTTCAAGAGGCCATCTGGTTGGCAGTAGGTCTTGCCACACTGGCTGCAGGAACAGGAGTGGCTCTCTGGCTGGAGCTGAGAGCTGCTGTCCCTACTGTCCCAGTTATCCATGTAACTCAGACTAGGTCCATTGGACTGGCTGTCAGCAAGGTGGCAAGGATTACTGGGGACGTTGTCTTCCAACTTGTTTTCTGTCTTAGTTAATACCTGACCCTGAGGAGCCCAACCACCACTGTGATTAAGCAGCCCCCTCTCTTCTTGCCACCCATCTGCTTTCACCACACCCCAGGATAGTGGCTCTGTGGCTTCTGATCCTGCTGCCCGGCTGAGACTCTGACTGTGTTCCCCTGGCTTGACTCTATCCTCCAGCTGGGATACTGACTCAGTACCACCTGATCTACCCTCGAGTCCCTGGTTGTTGGCCAGGTTCCTCTCACTGGCCTCTGTACCATTTGGGCCTCCCAGGTCACTGTCCAGCTCCTTTTTGCTCCCCTCCTCATGCTCCCTCAGATGCCGCTCCAGAGATCCTCGGCCAGGAAAGCCTTGTCCACAGAGGGCACAGCGCAAGGCTGCTCGCCGGGACCACCCTGCCCTCCGCCGCCGACTCTCAGAATGCAGCCTCTGATGGTCCTTCAGGGCCATGTGGTTGGAGTATGTCTTGGGGCAGGAGGGGCAGCTGTATTGGCCTGTCTCATGGCTGCGCCTGTGGTTCAGGAGGCTGCCAGCATGGCGGTAGGTCCGTCCACATTGTCCACACAGGAAGGGCCTATCTTCCCGAGTTAGCTTTCGGGTGACTCCACCCCCACGCCGCTCAACATGGCCCCGATGGTGGCTGGCCAGTTGCTTCCGCAGGCGAAAGGCTTTCCCACATTCACTACAGCGGAAACGCCGAGGGTCTGCATGGATGCGCCGGTGGTTCTTAAGGGACATAAGGTTTGAGAAGCCTTTGGAGCAAGCCTGGCAGCCAAAGTGGCCAATCTGGTGACTCTGCCGATGATTGATGAGGCTGCCCGCGTGCTTGTATGAGCGACCACACACCTCACAGCTGAAGGGCCGCTCAGAGCTGGCCTCAGTCTGACAGCCCTTCTCTGCCGTCTCCAGCCTCAATTCTATCTCCTCTCCCTTCACAGTGGTTTCCTCCCACACCTCCTCTTTCACCCTAGCCACCTCCTCCAGGGGCTCCACTTTAAGTTCTTCTGGGAGCTGCCTCATTTCTTCCTGCACCACTCCCTCCTCTGCCACATTCTGGGAATCACTGCTACCTCCGGCATCTGGGACAGGCCCCACCTGGGGCTCAGAGCCTTTGCAGCGAGGATGGTTCCGCAGGTGATTACGGTAGGCAGCCAGATTGGGGTAGCAGCGGGAGCAAACAGGGCAGACAAAATCTCCAGTCTGGTGGATTTTGCGGTGGTTGACCAGGCTGCCCCCGTGGCGATAGGTCTTGCCACACTGGTTGCAGCGGAAGGGGCGGGGCTGAGCCTCTAGAAAACTTTCACCAACCTGCATGCAAAGACTGTCTGCAACTGTGCCACCTACTCCCTTTTCAGATTTTGTGTCTCCACCTTCTCCAGAGGTCACTATCCCCTCAAAGACACTGTCTGCAATCATCTCTGTAGCACCACCTAATGCTCCCACATGGCTAGGATCCTTGTCTGAAGGATTCTCAGAGCTCTGACTTCGATGGTGACGCTCTAGGCTCCCCAGGTCATCATAGGTCTGGCCACAGCAGCCACAAATGTGCCCATAACCTGCTCCACCAAGTGCCTCCACTTCTCGCTGCAGCTGGTTTAGCAGCTCTGCTTCTGAGAGCTGCAGTGGAGGGCTGTGGGTAGACATAGTATCTGCTGCTCCTTCCTCTTCCCCCTCCTCCTCTGAGCCCTCACTAATGCCAGAGGTGTGGTGAACCTGGCGCTGGTGAAGCCTGTAGCCAACCCGCTCAGGAAAGATCATACCACATAGACAGCAGAGGAAAGGCTGGGCTGAGGTTGCCTCTCCTGGCCTGTGGTTCTGGAAGTGACTACGCAGGGCAGGCAGAGAGTCAAACTCCTTTGGGCAGAGGGAACACTGATAGATACCTGGTGGGTGGCAGGGCCTATGGCTCAGAAGGCCTGTGGCATGAGAGAAAGAATGCCCACAGTCAGAACATGTGTGAGTGACCTCAGTCTGCCAGCTGGGGGCAGCCTCTGCAGAATGGGAAGAGGTACTGGGGTGACCAGTGGTTGGTTTCTGGTCTTCCTCCACCCCAGTGAGGCCACCACAAAAGTGAGTCCTACTGCCTTTCTCATCACATGGAATGTCCAAGTTGCCAAGAAAACAGGCTTCCTTCAGTTCCAGCCCTTCCTTAGCACCTCTGCTCTCTTCATCACCCTGGAAACAGGCCTCATCATTCTCAAGCCCACATGTTTTACCTTCAGATTCAGCTTGCAAACAGTCCCCATCACTTTCCAAGTTGCCTTCAATCCCACAAGGATTTTCCTCCAAAGGGTGGTGGGAAGAGTTCAGGTCCTCATTGTCTTCTGATTCCTGAACCCAGGTTCCCACTGGTGGGAGTTTGGCTTCTCCCCCAACACTGCCAGCCTGCTTCCAATGCCGCCTGCTCCGCCGCCGGCTGTGGCGTCGCAAATGGCTCTTCATGGCAGCCATGGTGTGGAAGTGCTTAGCACAGGCCCCACAACTGAAGTCTCCTGTCTGGTGGGTCTGCCTGTGGTTAATAAGGCTGCCTGAGTGGCGATAGCTCTTTCCACAGTCTCGGCAGGCAAATGCCCGAGGAGGTGACACAGTGTTCTCTAACCTATTTTCTCCTTCTCCTGCTCTGTGGGTTACACCATGATGTTTAAGACTCTCAGGATCTTCAAAGAGCATGCCACAGATGCTACATATATGTGGTACTGTCCCACCTGCTGTTGGGACAGCACCAGTGGCCTCCTCTTCATGTTTGCACACATGCCTCTGGTCTGTGTGGGAGGCTGCCTCTACTCCCACTGAGAGGTCCCCCTTGGTGTTGCTGGGAAGCCCCTCAGAACCTGGGTCTGCACGTTGGCGAGCAGCCTTGCAATGTACCCGCACATGGTTGCGTAGGGCCATGAGGTTGGGGTACTTGCGGGGACAGAGGGAGCACTGGTACTCTCCTGTCCGATGGCTATGGCGGTGGTTCACCAGGCTTCCCCGGTGGCGGTAAGCCCGGCCACACTCACCACACTTATAGGGGCGATGGTCCAGGGTGCTGGTGGGGACCTCTTCCTCTTTGCAGGTGGTCTCAGCCAACAGCAGGGGAGCTGGTGACACTGATAACTGACCATCTTCCCCAGTGCCTTGCCGGGGTCTATGATGAGCCCGAACATGGTTTTTGAGAGCAGCTGCATTGAATAGCTGCTTGGAACAAATGGAGCAGGGATACACACCTGTTTGGTGGCTTTTTCGATGGTTGATGAGGCTCCCAGCATGGCGGTAAGTTCGGCCACAGTCCTCACAGCGGAAAGGCCGGTATTCCTCTAGTCCACTGTCTTCTAGCTCTCCAGAAGTGCTGAGCTCCCCAGTACCATTCAGCATCTGTATATTATGTAGCTGGTCCTGGCTGCTCTCATCTGTGTGCCCATTAGTGGTGGGCATCTCTTTCTCTTCCCATGGCTCCTCCTGCCTTTCTACCTCATGGGACTGCTGGTGTTCCAGCAGCTCCCGGGGCAGGCGGAAGGCACGGGGGCAGTGGGGACAGTGATAAGGCCGATATTGGGCATGAAGTCGGGAATGGTTCTTCAGAGCCATGAGGTTAGAGAACTCCTTGAAGCAGATGGCACAAGGGTAGATGCCCAGGGTGTGGCTCTGGCGGTGGTTGGTGAGGCTTCCAGCATGCTTGTAGGTCTTGCCACATTGACTGCACTTGTATCTCCGCTCCTCTTCAGCAGGAAGAGACTGGGTAGGTTCCTGGCCCCCTGTGAAGTTCACTACTGATTCAGCCAAATACTGTTCCAAGTTGCTAAGGAGGCTGCTGGCTGGGGTGGGGAGAGGTGGGGCTCTGGCAGAGTTGACGGTAGAACCCCAGCCCTCTGCACCACTCTCAGGATCTGGCTGACTTTCCCAGCCTTCTCGTTGTCTGGTGGGTGGATCCTCCCAAGTGCCTGGAGCTGCCCCGAGGTCAGGTCCAGAATCACAATCAGGTGTCTCTTTTGTATGTTTTGTCTGGTTTTCCCAGCCTTCCCCAGGGCCAAGTCTCTGGCCCCAGGAGTCAGTAGACACTGTCTCACTCTGGAGGTGTGGAGTTGCTTCCTTGGGGTGGGGAGACCTGCGCCTGCGGCGGCCCTCAGAAGCATGAGTCCTCATGTGGCTCTTGAGGGCCATAGGATTGGTAAAGTCCTTGCCACAGGTAATACAGGGGAAAAGGCCAGTCTCATGGGTACGGCGGTGGTTGACCAGGCTCCCTGGGTGACGGTAGCCCCGCCCACACTGCTGACAGCGGTAGGGCCTAGGGATACCATCAGCCCCTTCACTGTCCTGGTTGGGAGATGGATGGAGCAGTTCTCGGTGCCGTGACAGTTCTGGGAGGCTAGGAAAGTGGCGCTGACAGTCTGAGCAGCTGAATGAGAGGGGCGTGTCCTCCATGGGGCAATGTGGCAGAAACCTGGAGGTTCAGGAGGAACAGACAGGTGGCTGCAGCATCTTCCTCTGGTGGAGGGGCCAAGGCCTAGGAAGAGGGGGCAGTGGTCAAAAGGAAGGCCTAAATTAACTTTTAACTTTGCCCCTTGGCTCTATGAGCAACAAGTTCACCAGAGGCCACTGAGGGGTTCCCTAAACATCAATGCTCAGGCACCAGCTTTATACTAGATCTAATCTGGAGGGACCATCGTTTACAGCTTCCCTATGCACAAGCACCCTAAATATGGGAGCTCCTCTAGACTTAAGTCATTCCTAAAAGTATAGATAGAAACTTACATCTAGGGAGATCTAATCTACTTCTGATCACAGACCTATTTAGTTTTTCAGACCACACCTAAAGATCTTATTGTCCCTAACCCTGTGCTCTAATTCCAAAACAAAAAAAAGAATCTTTGACATCTTAAAAGGAAGTAGAACCATTCATTCACTTTTCAGTAAGAGAAGTCCGATGCTTCCTTCTTTACCCTTCAGCTAAACAAAGTAGCCTGAAGCACTGAAAAAGCAGATATTCTCTCCAGCTGACAACTGAGGATGAGAGTAAAGGTTAAGTCCTTTAGAGAAAGGGCTGGCTTGTTCCCCCTACTCCTATAGTTCTTTGCCAAGAGGTCTCCTTTCCAAGACTCTTGCCCCATTCCTTTTACTTCCCATGAATACAAACTATCTTCCATCTCGAAAGTCCCATTCCATTTCAGGTTAGAATTTTATTTTATTCCTTGCTTTTTTTCTATCCAATGCCGCCTTACCTCCCCATCACCATCATTTCTCATCTTTCATCTACTTCCTCTCTTAACACTGATGCCAACAATTCATTCTGAGTATTACTATGTGCCAGGCACTATCAAGTATGTTTACTGTCACTGAATCCTCGAAACACTACAATGCCTCTGTTAACCCAGTTTACACATAAACAAACCTAGTGACAGGGGCAGTCTTCCTTAAAAGTCCTTGCTTTCCCAGTAGACTCCTACACCATCTTGGCCTTCATTCTCCAACTATGACTCTTCGGTCCTACGGGACCCCACTACAACTCCCTATCTCAGACGCTAACCTCCTCACTGTTATCTGCCCCCACATTCTCACCTCACAAAGCCCCTTCGCTCAAGAGTCTCCTTCCCTAATCAGCCACCAATGAGGTCCTCTAGCGTCACTCATCTTCTCTGCCAATTTCCTTTCATGACCCCTACCTCGCACCGGCGGCCCGTTCTCGTTCCCGCCGCGGGCGCGTCCGTTGAGGACCGCGAACAGGAGCGCGCCTGCGCACTGGGACCCTTACCCTAACTGCAGCCGCGCGCCCTAACGGGTGGCTGTGGGGTGGGGGGAAACTCTCGTGCTCCAACACACGCACACTCAGCCAGGGTTCCTGGAAGGTGGGAAAGAGAGGGAAAGAGGGAAAGAAGGGGGAGAGGAAGGAGGTAGAGGAAGATGGTACAGCTGATATGAACCAGGAGTCTACCCCCAGCTCCGCGGACACTTCCTATTGTTACTAGGAAACAGGAAGTGTTCTAGAAGCAAAACCTTCCCCGCGAAACTTCCGCCTCCGGAACACTTCCTGTCCTTCCTCAAAGCAGTCAGACACACTTCCGCCGCACGCAGACAATTCCGCAGCTAGTTTCTGGCTGGGCGCAATTCTGGCTCCGCCCACGCGAGTCACAGCGTTGTTTTTACGTACTACCTTAGCCACACTTCCGTCCACAGTTGCTAAAATCGTTCCGGTGCATATTGAAAAAGCGGCAGAAGAGGGAAAAAGGTTCTGCAGCCCTGGCTGCAATACTTTGATGACACTTTCCGTGGGGCTCCCTGAAAGACACTTCCCAGGACAGATGGGGGAAGCTTCATTAAATTCACTCCACGCTATTAAAAGAAGTGTGAGGTGCAAGCGGATTTAGGTACTACAAAGCCTGAGCATGGCCTTTCTGTCCTCCCACCTTCTAACTCTTGGAGATACTTCCGGTCCGGCCGGTGTGTGCCGTCAATCAGCCCGGCGTCCCCTCCCCTTAGCATCCATAGACCCCTTGCAAGATATTTCTTCGCCACCTTAGGCTGGAGGCGCTCCCGTGAACTTTTCCTCTCCTCAGCTGGGAAAGCTCCTTTCCACTTCCGCTCTCTGATCCTCCCACCCCCGCCTCCTCTGCCCCCCCGCTGGGTCCTAGCGCCTGCCCTTCTCCCGCAGTGTCCCGGGTTCTGTCGGCGCGAGGAGCCGACGCCAACGCCACGGAGCCAGCCCAAGTAGGATCAGGTAGGAGACGCCTGCGGGAAGTCACAGGGACCTCCGGCAGCCCCCGCGCGGACGCGATCCAAATTGGCTTCAGTTTCCCTGTGGGCGCCGAGGAAGGACTGGGTTGGCCGAGCTGGAGTCGCGCGGGCGGGGCGGGCGGTGAGCGGGCCCCGGGCGGGCTCCGGGCCCAGCAGGTCCTAGAACCCGCCGGCTGTCCATGCGAGCCGGCTGCCGTGGACGCTAGGATCGGCCGACGCGGCTGTCGACCTTGCTCCGTGCGGGCCCAGGGGTCCTAGAGCCCGCCATGTTGCGGGCTTTTGTTTCTGCTGCGCGGCCGTGGAGCAAGGTCTCAGACACCCGTGGGCCCCCTCCCCGGCGGAGGCCCTAACCGCCCCTCCCGCGGTCCTAAAGAACGCCATTTTGCAGGCCTTTGTCCTGCTTTCGGCCCTTCGTCCATTCATTTGTTCGTTCCTTCATTCTTCGTTCACTCTTTCTTGCCACTTTCGTGAGGCCATGTTTTCATAGGATTTATTCCAAAAATGAGTCAGCCTAGGGCACTACCCTAAGGTAGCTGCCTGACTGGCGAGGGTACCCAAACACAGATGGTTGCAGAGAGCGAGGAGCGCTGTGCTTTGGTGTCTCTTGGCCCCTCCTCGCAGCGTCTGGTAGGCCTTAAGGCCGTTCAAGCTCCCATATGCTTCAGGGGCCCCATTTTACTGATGAGGAAACTGAGGCCCAGAGCCTTCTCTGGATCCTTTACCTGTATTGCCCATTAAATGTTCTTGAGCTCCGGGGATGGTATTGGAAGGATGCAAAGAGTTTTTCTATGGGAGAAAGCAAAGAAAGGTTCGTAGGCATAGAGAATTGTATACGGAGGTGGGAAAGTTTCAGAATGTAGCTGGAGCTTAGGTTGCTGATCAGAGGAAGCTGAGACTGGAAAAGAAGATTAGGATCAGGTTGTGAGCTGATAGGTATTAGCGCACACCTCTGACAGTTCCATCAACTCACCAGATCCTTCATGACCCACGAGCCTTAGGTGACCTCTATTTGTTTACCTCATCGCTGCCCTCCAGGGCCTGAGCCTAAGCTTTTGGGGAATGGATTATCTGTGTACCTGGTGGCCTGATGGGCCAGCAGAACTTCATCCCCCTCCTAGGCTAGTTAGTGAAGCAATGACAGTGCTCACAACAGTGAACCTGTTGTGGAATAATAGGATGAAATTTGGACCTTATGAACTTGAAAAGATGGAAACATTCAGTTAATAAATAGCTGTTGACTGATTCTCACAAACTTACTATGGCAGAATCAGGTTTGAATTCCACCTGAGGTTGATTCATTTGGTTTGCTGTGGGTCACTGGTTTGGGGCATAGAGAATGTAGGTAATCACATTTTCTGGGTCTTTGCCAGCTTGGACTCTGGTACAGGAAGTAGAGAATTAACAACTAAATAATAAAATGTGTGTTAGCAAAGCAATAATCAGTGATGGAAGAGTAGAGTTGGACCACCAGGCTTTGAATACTGACTATGACAATGATTTGTTACTTTACTTCTCTGTGGTGTCACTTCTTAGAAGAGCACTAACCTTATTGGACTATGGCCTTACCCTTATGACCTCATTTGACCTTAATTACTTCCATAAAGAACCTGTCTCCAAATACAGTCCCAGTGGGGGTTAGTGTTTTAATATGTAAATTTTGGGAGAACACAAACACTCAGTCTATAACAAACTTCTAAGCAGTTGTGAGATTAGCATGAGAAGTTTGAGCAGTATGCATAAAATGCTTAGAATGATACCTGGCCCATAGTAAGCTTGTGAGGACTGTTTGATCAGATCACGCACACACACACAAAACTAAAGAGGAAGGCCTAGAGAGTGAGTAGCAGGAGTGCAAATAAGCATTAAAGAAGGTAGTCAGAGCCCGGCATGGTGGTTCAGGGCTGTAATTTCAGCATTTGTGGGGCTGAGGCAGGAGGACCATGAGTTCCAGGCCAGCATGGGCTACATAGTAAGAACCTGTCTCAAAAGAAAAAGAAAAGAAGGAAAGGTGGTCAAGAAAGCCTTCTAGGAAGGAACAGTTTGCTGAGACAGCTACAGATCCTGGCTGAGGGAACTGCTAATGGAAACACTTTGAGATGGGAAGGAATTGAGTTCTTTGAGATGAGGAAAGGAGGCCTGGGTGGGTGGAGCCTAGTGATCCAGGAGGAAAAGGAGTTGGAGATAAGGTAGGTAGGAGTTAGATGGATCTGGGCCTTGTTGATTATGGAAAAATACTGGTCTTTGTCCTGGGAGCAGTGTCATGATTTGGCTTTTTAAAAAAAATCAAGTGAATGAAAACTGGTAGGGAAAGAGCACAGCTCCCCGGTTTGAAGACTTTTGAGTTTGCATCTAGGCTCCTTGCCTAGCTAGGTGTTCTTATGCACACACTTTTTGCCTGTGGGGTCTTAATCTGCACATCTGAAAAAAGACTCGTAGGAGTATGTGGAGAGCTAAGGGTGTGTGGTTTTTTTGGTGCTGCTAGGGATGGAACCCAGGGCCTTACACATACTAGGAAACTGTTTTACCACTGAGCTACACCTCAGCCTATTGTTTTGGTATTTGATTGTTAGTATTGGTTGGAATAATGCAGATGGTGTTTAAAGTAGATGCCTGTGTCCTGCCAGATCTCATTTGGAGAAACCTCACTCTGGGAAGTGATGGTGAAAGAGTTCTCCATGAACTGCGAAATAAAGATCCAATGGTGGATTTTAGGCAGGTCTGTTCTACCCTTAGCTCTTCGTGGAGCTAGGTGCCTGCTGGAACCAGCTAGGAACTCACTATTTCCCCTGGGATGTGCCTTTGGAGGAATTTACTCCGCAAGAACCCGGTTTCTATTTCACAGATAGGAAGGCTGCGGCCCAGAGCTGACAAAGGCCAGGATAGGGCCAGAGCTCAGAACCAGTAAGTCCAGTCCTCTGAGGCCTGAAGAAGGTACTGGCTGTGGTCTCAAGGTAGGTTTTTTTGTTTTTAATGTTTGGAGGTTCTGGTGTTTGAACTCTGGACTTTGCACTTGCAAGGCAGGCACTCTACTACTTGAGCCATGCCCCCAGCCCAAAAGGTAGTCCTGTAGGGTGAGAGAAAACAAGGGTGCAGTCTGAGCTCAAGGTTCTGGTCACTGTGGTGCTGGTCCAGGTGCAGAAAGTCTGGGAGGTCCCAGACCAGTGAGCAAGGGCCCAACCACTTAAAACAGGTTAAACACCTGGATTCAAGTCTCAGCTGCATGAGTTACTAGCTGTGTGGCTATGGGCAAGTCACTTCACTCTTGAAACCTCAGTTCATTCATCTGTAAAATGGGGGCAGCAATCCCTATTTCAGGAAGCCATGAGAGAATGACATAAGGTAACACACTCAGGAATGTGTCTGGCTCTGAGAAGACTCAATAATTGAAAACTGTAATTACTCCTATCTCATTCAGTCCTCACCCAACTCTGTGAGGTTAAGTACTATTTTTACCTCCATTTCCGATGAGAAAACAGGTTCTAAGACATGCAATAAATTGCACAAGGTCATATCTGCTGGGAAGCAATGGAGGCAAGATTTGAAGCTGGGTGTTCTGGCTTCACAGACTCTGCACTTAACCACAATGCTGTACAGTTTCTCTAGACCTCAGTTCTTTTATCTGGGAGAAGAATACTTCTCACGGTGTTGATGTGAAGGGTAATTGAGTTAACACATATAGAGAGCTTAGAATACTCTGGAATTTGGCAAGTGCTTCATAGCTATGAGCTATCTTTTTCTTTTTGGGTTTTTTTTTTTCCCCCAAGATAGGGTTTCCATTATGTAGCCCAGGCTGGCTTGGAACTTTCGATCCTCCTGTCTCACCTCACCCCCAGGATTAAGCCCAGGGCCTCACACATGATGCTTGGCAGGTGCTGTACCACTGAGCTACTTCTCCAGCATGCTATCATTTTTCTTTCTTTTTTTTTTTTATCATTTTTCTTAAGGAGAAACTTTATCAGGCAGACTCTCCAGAGATGGCCTAGTAGGAAGATAGTGAGTGCCTCACCCCGAAATAGAGAGGGATCCCTGGAAACTGTTGGGAGAATTCAAACCCTTTAACTCATCCTTACGCCCAGGATTTAGTGAGATAACTAAGCCAAGAGTAGAACAGACTTGGGTGGGATTAAGGCCAAAACCCAAAGGGAAGGGGTAGAAGAGCTTGAGAGAAGTGGGGCTTACATGAAGGACTGATAGGATTTGGAACAACCAAAGGGTCTGGGAACTTTTCAGATGTGCAGATTAAGACCCCACAGGCAAAGTGTGCATAAGGACACCTAGCTAGGCAAGGAGCCTAGATGCAAACTCAAGTCTTCAAACCCAGGAGCTGAGCTCTTTCCCTGCCAGTTTTTATTCACTTGAGGTTTTTGTAATTTTTATTTTATTTTATTTATTCATATGTGCATACATTGTTTGAGCCATTTCTCCCCCCTGCCCCCTGCCCCACTTGAGGTTTTTTTTTAAAAGCCAAATCATGACACTGCTCCCAGGATAAAGACCAGTATTTTTCCATAATCAACAAGGCCCAGATCCATCTAACTCCTACCTATCTTATCTCCAACTCCTTTTCCTTTTGGATCACTAGGCTCCACCCACCCAGGCCTCCTTTCCTCATCTCAAAGAACTCAATTCCTTCCCATCTCAAAGTGTTTCCATTAGCAGTTCCCTCAGCCAGGATCTGTAGCTGTGTCTGGTTGCCTTTGGTGTCTCAGCAACCTGTTCCTTCCTAGAAGGCTTTTTTGACCACCTTTCCTTCCTTTCTTTTTCTTTTGAGACAGGTTCTTAACTGTGTAGCCCATGCTGGCCTGGAACTCATGGTCCTCCTACCTCAGCCCCAAATGCTGAGATTACAGCCCTGAACCACCATGCCAGGCTCTGACTATCTTCTTTAATGCTTATTTGCACTCCTGCTACTCACTCTCTAGGCCCTCCTCTTTAGTTTGTGTGTGTGTGTGTGTGTGTGTGTGTGTGTGAGGGAGAGAGAGAGAGAGAGAGAGAGAGACAGAGACAGAGACAGAGATCTGGATCAGACAGTCCTCACAGGCTTACCATGGGCCAGTATCATTCTAAGCATTTTATGCATACTGCTCAAACTTCTCATGCTAATCTCACAACTGCTATAGCTGCTGCTATAGCTCTTCCCTTTCCTGGAGCAAGGGTCCCTCTGTCTCTTTTCCCAGCACCCTCCTGGCTCAGCTCCATCTTCCTCCTCAGCCTAAGTTAGAAACCATCAAACCCTGCAGTGCACAGATGAGGAAACAAGCACTGATTTCCCTGAGATCTAGTAAATTATCCTAGGGTAGGAAGTAGAACCTAGGTGACCTGGCCTCTGGGCACACCTGGCTCCTTTTACCCTGCTCAGTTCCCAGCTGCAGCTGCTAAGCTTTCCCTAAGTGGATCTGCCCTAATCCGATTCCCTTCATCCCCCTGGGAGGATGAACTGGTGTTAACGCTAATACAGCTGTTAATCCTATTCCTCCCAACCATGATCCCAGGAGCAGCTGAGTGGACAGTGCCTGGGCTCTGGACAGAGAGTAGAGACCTCAGCTAGAGCTGGTGCCCCACTAGATCAGATCCATTGATCCTGACTGAGAAAGAGGCTTCTCACTGCTAGCAATAGCTCAGGCTGCTTTGAGAACAAGTGAGGTCCCTATTACCAGACTTATGGGAGTAGGAGTCCAGCAGGGATTCCAGGTCAGAGGGTGGGCCAGGATTCCTCTGTATAGCTGTGCCTGTTCAGAATTCTTTGTGAACAGTTGCTTCTCTTGAGAGCTAACCAACCAGAGGGTGAAACAACACGAATGTGGGGGCACCTGTCACTTCCACACAGTGCCAGTCACCTCATTTAGCCCATTGGTTTCTTCCTCTTCTGGACCCAGGTCTGTCTTCTTGAGTGTTTGGAGACCTTCAGACCAGGCCCACATCTGGTTACCTTGTGTCCTGGCACAGTCCCTGGCCATTGAGCTGAGGAAAGAAAATGGTGATACTGAAGGAACCTAGGCATTCTGGGAATGCCACAGGGTTTGGAAAAGTCCAGAAGTTGTCTAGTGAAGTACAGATGGACATTTTGTGATCCCAGCCCCCTCTCTTAGCCCCTTCCAGCCTCTCACCAGGTTCACCCCTTCCCTCAATGAGCAGATCATAAGAGAAACTTGACCCTAGTGTTGGAGCGAGGAATGCAGATAAGATAGGGTTCCTTCCGTCTGAGGCCATGAGAGTGCTTTGGTGAGGAGGGAGGCCTTGAAGAGTAGCAAAGGGATGTGGCTTTGGTCTAACTTTGCTTCTCTTGCAGAGAAGCCCGGCTTACCTATGCTATGGAGGTGGAGGCTGCAGAGGCCCGGTCCCCTGCCCCTGGCTACAAGCGCTCTGGCCGCCGCTATAAATGCTTGTCCTGTACCAAGACATTTCCAAATGCTCCTAGGGCAGCACGCCATGCTGCCACTCATACGCCTGCAGACTGCCCAGAGGAGGTGGCTGATGTAAAGCCAAAGGCAGATACAGAACCCAAGGCAGAGGAAGCCATTGGGGACAAAGTGTCTGGTTCAGCAGCTAAGCCTCGGCCCTATGCATGCCCGCTGTGCCCCAAGGCATACAAGACTGCACCGGAGCTGCGCAGCCATGGGCGCAGTCACACAGGTGAGAAGCCTTTCCCATGTCCAGAGTGCGGCCGCCGCTTCATGCAACCCGTGTGCCTGCGAGTGCACCTGGCCTCCCATGCTGGTGAGCTGCCCTTCCGATGTGCACACTGCCCCAAGGCCTATGGCGCACTCTCCAAGCTCAAGATCCACCAACGCGGTCACACAGGCGAGCGGCCCTACGCCTGTGCAGACTGCGGCAAGAGCTTTGCGGATCCTTCGGTGTTCCGCAAGCACAGGCGCACACACGCAGGCCTGCGGCCCTACGGCTGCGAGCGCTGTGGCAAGGCCTACGCCGAGCTCAAGGACCTACGCAACCATGAGCGGTGAGAAAACTCTAGGGGCGGGGAAACCATAGTGGTGGCTGTAACCAATGGGGGCTGGGGTTGAGGCTCACTGAGCAGAATAGGCCAATGGGAAGGTGGGTGGGATCAGTTCCAAAAGGGGTTGGGCTCGCGGGAGAAGTTGGAGGCTTTGGTTGGACAGGGATGGCTTGTGTGCTGAACAGACCTACAGAGATGGAGCCTTGAGGGAGAATGGGTTCTGAATATCCTAGATTCCAGGACTACTGGAAAGGGGGTAGGGTTTGAAGTTTGGGCAGCCCATGGCAGGGCAACGGCGTCATTGTGGAACCCGGGTGTGAGGAGGGCCTGGTCCACCGTCCTCACAACCAGAGTGTGGTGATGTGCAGAGTGGAATCTTTATTCGTTGTTTTTTTGGTTTCAGTTTTGGGGTATGGGTTTTCTTTTTATTTTTTTTCTTTCATTTTTATTAGCATACATTAATTGTAGGGGGGGAATTCATTGTGACATTTCCGAATAGCCTTACATTGAACATTGATTAGGTTCACCCCCACCATTTCTCACCCATCCCCCTCACCGCCCCACCTAAAACAATTGCAAAAGGTTTCATTGTGTATCATACATGTATCACAAAGCACATCGACCATATTCCCCCTCCTTCATTTCTTCCATTCCCCCTCCCCCTCCCACAAGTACACCATACCCACACCCACACACAGGACCTATTTTACGGACCTGTCCTTCATTTTTAATTCCAAAGTCAGTATTCAAAGGGGTTTCTCCATGTATCTCTGCTGTGAATATACCGTACTTTGGTCAGTTCAGTCACCTGTATTCCTCCCCCTTACCCTTTCCCTCCTACCCCCTATTTTATTCAGCAGCTGTCAGTACCTATCGTTAGGTCATCTACCTATACCGATGCAATCTATTTTGGATTGTTGATTGTCATTCTCTTTTCCTTCCCCTCCTACAAGAGAAGGATCTTATCTAAAGGTTTCCTACTCTAAGGGGGCAGCCCTGTGGCTCTTAGGAGATGTTTGGGAGGGGGCCCTAAATGATAGCTAGGGAGGCAGCAGGGCTCTGTCCTTCTCACGGACCTGTCGCTTTCATGTTGAGCCTTCCATACTCCCACAGGTCCCACACCGGTGAGCGCCCCTTCCTCTGCTCCGAGTGTGGGAAAAGCTTCTCTCGCTCTTCGTCGCTCACATGCCACCAGCGTATCCACGCAGCACAGAAGCCCTATCGCTGCCCGGCCTGCGGCAAGGGCTTCACGCAGCTCAGCTCCTACCAAAGCCATGAGCGCACCCACTCCGGCGAGAAGCCTTTTCTGTGCCCTCGTTGTGGCCGCATGTTCTCCGACCCGTCGAGCTTCCGCCGCCACCAGCGGGCGCACGAGGGCGTGAAGCCTTATCGCTGCGAGAAGTGCGGCAAGGACTTCCGGCAGCCGGCCGACCTGGCCATGCACCGGCGTGTACACACGGGAGACCGGCCCTTCAAGTGCCTGCAATGTGACAAGACGTTTGTGGCATCCTGGGACCTAAAGCGGCATGCGTTGGTGCACTCGGGCCAGCGGCCCTTCCGCTGTGAGGAATGCGGGCGAGCCTTCGCGGAGCGCGCCAGCCTCACCAAGCACAGCCGCGTGCACTCGGGCGAGCGCCCTTTCCACTGTAACGCCTGCGGCAAGTCCTTCGTGGTGTCATCGAGCCTCAGGAAGCACGAGCGGACCCATCGGAGCAGCGAGGCCACAGGGGCTGCCGCCCAACAGGAGCTGGTAGTAGGGCTGGCGCTACCCGTCGGCGTGGCTGGCGAGGGCTCTGCCGCCCCAGTGGCAGGTGCAGGGCTGGGGGACCCTCCAGCAGGGCTTCTAGGGTTGCCCCCAGAGTCAGGTGGTGTGATGGCCACACAGTGGCAAGTGGTAGGTATGACAGTGGAGCATGTAGAATGTCAGGATGCCGGTGTCGAGGAGGCTCCTGGTCCTTTGGGGGGGTCAGGAGAGGTGAGGGGTGAGGAGGCTGACGAGAAGCCACCCCAGTTTGTATGTCGTGAGTGCAAGGAGACCTTCTCCACGCTGACGTTGCTGCGCCGGCATGAGCGCTCCCACCCGGAGCTCCGGCCCTTTCCGTGCACCCAGTGTGGCAAGAGCTTCTCAGACAGGGCAGGGCTGCGCAAGCACAGCCGTACGCACAGCTCTGTGCGCCCCTACGCCTGCCCGCACTGTCCCAAGGCTTTCTTGAGTGCCAGTGACCTGCGCAAGCATGAGCGTACCCACCCTGCGCCCATGGGTACCCCCACACCCCTGGAGCCCCTTGTGGCTTTGCTAGGAATGCCTGAAGAGGGCCCAGCCTGAGCCCATGACCCTCCACCACACTCCTTGGAGCCCAGTCCCTACTGGGTGGGTGGCTCCTGAGCCGCTTTGTGCCCCTGCTCACTCTTTAGACTCCAGCACCTGCCCTTGAGCACCTGGCTCACGATCTCGCAGCTAAGAGCTGGGGACAGTGGGGGCTGGCAGCAGCTATGAGACAGGGCTCTCAGAGCAAGTCATTAAAGCGTTCACTCTGATACCTACCGTCTTCTGTGTTCTGGTGGAGTGAGTGGGTGGAAGTTTGGGCATCAGGTGAGGTTCAGTGGAGACTCCTGGACTGACAACAACTACAGGGGTCTTTGGATGCATGTTTCCCAAAATGTGATCTGGGATGTCTTGTAACAAAGGATTCCATGGCCAAATAAGCACAGGAAGTTCTTTGTGCCCACAATTCTTGATGATTAAAAGTTGTATTTGAAAGCATTAAATCCTTCAGGGAACAAATCTGTTTAGCTGTGTTTAGCCCACACTCATGACCAAGGAAACCTTTTACTAAGTAGTTCTACTTCTATGCTTTTATAAATAATAAACTGAAGCTAAGCATTTATCTTTCCTGTAAACCACAACAACAAATTAGAAAATATACTTGGAGGAAAAAAGGTTCACAACAATAAAACCCACTGCAAAGACAATTGAGGTTATTTAGATAACCTAAATAACGGGGACAGACTGTGTACTTGAATGGAAAAGAGCTGTTAGTAAAAGAGTTGAGGACTGGGGATGTAGCTCAGTGGTAGAGCACTTGCCTAGCATGTGAGGCCCTGGGTTCCATCCACAGCACCAGGCAAAAAAAAAGAATTCTCCCCAATTTAGTCCTTAAATCACATTACCATTCTAAAGGATTTTTTTGGAAGGAGGTCCATTGGAGCGTTTGTTTGTATGCAAATCCCTAGAAAAAGAATCCCATGATTTTTCCCTCGTAGGTGTTTTCCTCTTGCTTCTTCATGGTCCATGATGACTGCTGAGGTTGACAATGAAGCAACACTGATGGGATGGAATATTAATCTGCCATTTCTTTAGGTCTTTGACCTGCACATCAATGCTGGGGCTGATGACTTCACATTTGATTAACTTGTGTGTGAGGTTCACAGTAATTTCCCCAGTACTGTGATTATCAACCGTTTCAAATTCACCAATGTAACCAAGCTTCATCAGCAGTTAGAAACCAGATGATGACTTTGGAAAACATCCGAGTAGTGTAATAAGGACCTGTCAAATAAAAACACTGCAAGATTTGGGGTAGGGGGATAAACTGTGAAGCCATGTGGTAAATAAGCTAATGTGCTCCCCTTTAGGCCAAATTACACATCAAATTCCCATGAAATATTTCAAAAAAGAATGTTTAACTGACTCTAGGTTATAAATTCTAGCCACTGGGGCCTTCCCCATTTATAAGCCAAAACAAAGTCAAAGGTCAGCGTGAATCAGGACTTCCTTTCTGTGCTTTTATCTTATGACATGTGAGCCACCAAGCTGACAGAGTCAGAGAGTGACCAAGCCCACATGCCAGTCATGGGGGACATTGCAGCAGGTGGCCATAGCTTGGGACTCCTACACCAGTTGGTCAACACCAGAAGCAGAAGTAGCAGGTGTCCCCTTAACATCAGGGACATCTTACCCAGGTTCTCAGACACTAGCTTTAAAAGGGGTCTTCAGAGCTAGGGTGTAGCTCAGTGGTAGAGCACTTGGTAGAGCACTTGTCTAGCAAACCCCACTACCACAAAATGAAGATATCATCATTTGCTAGTCAACAGATACCCTTGGGTATCCCTCTATAATGATGGATGAAGTGAGTCCCACAGATCTTCAGGAAAGATCCACAGTCCTTTCTGAGCCCATAAAACATCCCTTAGTCCCCCTTCCCTGACACTCCAGGTAATAGCCTAATCCAAGCTCCCTGAAGACACACAGTATGACCTAAAAAAATATTTTAACAGCTTAATTGAGATGAATTAACTTGTTTGGGACTGGATTGTGGCTCAAGCTGTAGAGCACCAGCTTTGCAAGCAGAAAGCCCTGAGTTCAAACCCCAGTCTCTCTCTCTCTTTCAGGTGGACTGGGGTTTGAACTCAGGGCTTCATGCTTGCAAAGTAGGTGCTCTATCACTTGAGCCACACCTCCAGTCCTGGGTTGTTAGTCTTTTTGGCTGTTGAGAGGTCAGAGTTCTCTACATTCTAGATACACTTTCCTTACGAATTATAAAACTTCCATTGTAGGGTTGTCTTTTTACTTTCTTCATGGCTATCTAAGGAGTAAGTGGGGTTCCTTTGTCTGTTTTCACACAAGGTCTCAATATGTAGCCCATTCTGGCCTCAAACTTGTGATTCTCCTGCATCAGGCTCCTGAGTGCTGGGATTACAGGCACTCTCTACCTGGCTCATACGTGTTTAATTTAATGATGTCCAGTTTATTTTTTCTTTTGTTTCTTGTGCTGTGGGTGCCATATTTAAGAAATCATTTCCTGATCTAAGGTATTGAAGACTTATGCCTCTATTTCTGTCTAAGGAGTTTATAGCTAAGGCTGGTGGGTGGCTCAAGTGGTAGAGAGCCTGCCTAGCAAGCATGAGGCCCTGAGTTCAAACCCTAGTACCACCACAAAAAAGAATTTTATAGCTAGAAGTTGTTTAAATGTTTATAACTTGTTGTAAACTTACAAAAGTCTTATATAAATTATAGATTTTATAGCTAAAAGTTCTTGGCTGGGTTTGGTGGCACATAACTGTAATCCCAGCACTTGGGAGATGGAGGCAGGAGGGTCAAGAGTTTGAGGCCAGCCTGAACTACATAGTGAGACCCTACCTAAAAAATAAAATACCAGTACTTACATTTAGATTTTTGATCCATTTTAGTTAATTTCTGTATATGGTTTGAGGTGGAGATCCAACTTCATTCTTTTGCATGTGAATTTTCAATTGTGTCAGTAGCATTTGTTGAAAAGACTTCTTTTTCCACTGAATTGTTTTTGACATCCTTGTTGAAAATAAACTGACTATAAATATGAGAGGATTTTTTTCTGGACTCTTAACTTTATTCCATTGATCTACATATCTGTCTTTATAACAGTACCACACTATTTTATAGTAGCTTCTAGCTTTGTAGTGTGCTTTGAAATCAGGGCCTATGAGCCCTCCAACTTGTTCTTCTATTTCAAGATTATTTTTATTTTTCTGGATCCCTTGAACTTACATTTGAATTTTACTTATTTGTTTGTTTTGCTTTGTTGGGATAGGGTCTCACTATGTAGCCCAGGCTGGTCTCCAACTTACAGTCCTTCTGTTTCAACCTTCTAAGTGCTGGGATTATAGTTGTGTTTCATCATACACAGCTCCATTTGAATTTTAGGATTGGCTCTTGGTTCTTGCCAAAAGAAAAAGAAAAAAGCTAGCTGGGATTTTGGTAGGCATTGTTTTCAATCAATTGATCCGTTGGAGAAGTATTGCCATTTTAATAATATTGAATCTTCTGACCCATAAGCATGGGATGTTTTTTGATTTATTTAGATCTTCTTTTCAACAATATTTTATAGTTTTCAGTGTATAATCTTATACTTCTTTTGTTACATTTGTATCAAATTATTGTATTCCTATTGTTGCTATTATAAATGGATTGTTGTATTTCAGTTTTGGACTATTAATTACCAGTGAGGAGAAACACAATATATTTTTGTATATTATTCTCATAATCCACAACCTTGCTGAACTCGTTAATTTGCTCTAATGAATGTGTGTGTGTGTATGTACATGGTGCATGTGTACCTCTGAGGATCTTTTTCTCCAGATGTAGTTTTACCACTGAGCTATACCCCCAGCCCTGCCTTATGACTTTCTCTACACAAGATTATACTACGTGTAAACAGACACTTACTTCTTTTCCAATCTATATGCCTTCTGTATCTTTTTCTTGTCTCATTTTCCAGGCTGGAACTTTCAGCACATGTTAAATAGAAGTGGTGGGAGCAGACATCCTTGTTTTGTTCCTCATCTCAGGGGAAGCAGATCTGGTCTTTCACCATTAATTATGACATTAGCTGTGACTTTTTCATAGATGTATTTTGATTATTAGCAAGTTGAAGAAGTTCCCTTTTACTTCAAGTATGTTAAGCTATCTCTTTATTATGAAAGGGTATTGTATTCTGTCAAATGTATTTTGTGAATATTGAGATGATCATATGGTTCTTCAATCTATTAATGATCTGTGTTAAATTAATTGATTTCTTGATGTTATACCAACCTTGTATTCCTGGGATAAGTCCTGCTTGGCCATACTGTATACTCCTTTTTATATATTGCTGGATTTGGTTTGCTAGTATTTTGTTGAGGACTTTTGTGTCTGCAGTCATAAGAATATTGATCTGTCACTTTCGTGGGCTGTCTTTGTCCAGTTTTGTTATCTGAGTAACGTCCTGATAGTCTAGCTTTTGTTTCTTGTGTTTCTTCTGCCTCCAACTTCCCTTATCTCCTCATTTCCTTCCCCGGTCTTTCACAGGTGGCAAATGCATAGGGAATGCAAAACCATAGGCTGTGCTGCTGAGCATAGCTGGCATCATCTCTCAGTCTGCACTGTGGGCTCTTGTCCTCATCCCCTCTCTGGCCAAATGCCTGGATAAGTTGGGGCTCACCCGAGGCCCTGGGTTCAATCCCCTGCCACCAAAAAAAGTTAAAAAAAAAAAAAAGCTAAAGGAAAGGAAGTGGGGGGTGGTCCCACAAAACAGTGTTCAAGCCTGGCTCTATAAGTGCAGCATTCATTCATCCACAGCCAGGGAGCTGATGTGTGGAGACCAGTTCTGGATTACTGACACACTCATTCAGAGCCAAGCCCCTCTCCCTGGAATCTTGGCTATACAGCTTCAGCCACTCCATTAGCCCCAATACAAGGTTCTTTATAAGAGGGATACAGAAGTAAGTGTTAGAAAAGAAGGTGGTGATGATGGAAGTAGAGTTTGGATTGATGTGCTTTCAAGTGGAGGATGGAGCTGCCAACCAAGGAATGCTGGCACCTATTGAAAGCTGAAAAAGGGAACAGTTTCTCCATCAGAGCCACCAAGAGTTGGCTGTTGACACCCTGACTTTAGTTTAGTGAAACTAACTTTGGACTTCTGAACTCCAGAACTATAAGAGAACAGATACAGGGCTGGACGTGTAGCTCAAGAGCTAGCAAGCACGAAGCCCTGATTTCAAACCTCAGTACCATCAAAGGTGTGGGGGAAACAGGAAGACAGAGAGATAGAGAGGAGAGAGAGAGAGAGAACAGATGTGTGTTGTTTTAAGCCATTATGTTTGTGTTACTTTATTATTTCAGTAATAGGGAATTAATGCAGTTGGGATCAATTAATACAGTGTTGACTGCATCTGTAAGTGGTCCCCCAATATTCATTTTTCCTCTTTCAGAGTAATAGGACTTTTATCTGCATAAAAAGGGTAGATAGTATTTCTCAAGGACCCTTCCAGTTGACTGTGGCCATACGACTTACATTCTGTTTAACAAGATTAGGGAAGAAATGGTTTGTACAACTTGAGTCCTGCAAGTTAGGGGAAGGGCAAGCCATCTTCTTCACTTTACTGCCTTCACTGTGGGTGGGACTGTGGTAGTGGTAGAGGACCATCTTGGGCCCCTGGGTACAGGCAGCATCCTGGGGATGGAACAGCAATAAGATAAAAATAATCTGGAACTGGGTGTGGTGGTTCATAACTGTAATCCCAGCATTTGAGAGGTGGACAGGAGCATTGCAAGTTCTGGGCCAACCTGGATTACATAGTGAGACCCTGTCTCAAAAATAAATAAGTAAATAAATAGACTCTGGATTTTGACAACTTCATGGAAGACCTGCCATAACTTAGAAAAGTAAGCTTCTATTTTGTTTAAACTTCAGTTGAGGGCTGGGGATATAGTTCAGTGGTAGTGTATTTGCCTAACATGTGCAAAGCCCTGAGTTCAACTTCCAGCCACAAAGAAAAAAATCTCTCTCTCCTCTCTCTCTCTCTCTCTCTCTCTCTCCCCCTCCCTCCCTCCCCTCCTGGCCCATTTTCCTTTGGGATAGCTCCTTTTCAATTTCAATGCCATTGTGATCCTAAGGTTGTATATGAGGTGAACATTTACTAGGCACCAAGCTGATGCTAGAAGGTTGGAGCCCCCCCATCTTCCCAGGTTGATTTTTTCTTTTTTTGTTTGTTTGTTTGTTTCTGTTTGTTTTGGTGGGATTGGGGTTTGAACCCAAGGCTTTGGGCTTGCAAAACAGGCATTCTATCAATTGAGCCACACCTCTGATCCATTTTGCTCTGATTATTTTGGAGATTGGGTCTCGCAAACTGTTTGCCTAGGTTGACCTCAAACCACAATCCTCCTGATCTCAGCCTCCCACGCTAGAATAATAGGCATGAGCCACTGGTCCCCGGCTTGTGACTCTGTTCTATGCCATCTTTGTGTGTGTGTGTGTGTGTGTGTGTATATGGTAGGGAAGGGATGATGCTGGGGATGGAACCCAGGACCTCAAGCATGCTAGGCAAGCACTGTACCACTATGCTGGACCCTGAGCCCTATGCTACCTTTATTCCAGAATCCAGTCTAAAAGATCAGTCTCTATCTGGAACTTTCAATCTCAAGACAGAAGGAAAGAAATGATGACTGATGACCCATAATGACTGTTAAAACTTCTTGCTGGGCATGCATGGTAGCACAGACCTGGAATCCCAGTACTTGGGAGGCTGAGGCAGGAGGATTTTGAGGCCACACTGGGCTACATAAAGATACCCAATCTCAACAAAATAAACAACCTTCTTGGAAGTGACACATGTCATTTTTACTCAAGTTCCATACATTTAAATCTAATATCCACACATTTCCAATGTCAGTGAAGTGGGGATAATCCCTCCATGGGATAGGAAGGCCAGTGAGTATTTTTGAACAATTATAGAATCTTCCCTGTGTGCCCTCTTCATCACAATTACTGCCTTTGAATTTTTTCCACATATAATATACAACCCCTTCCCAAGGGAGACGACCTAGATGAGCCATGTAATCATGGCAGCAGGCACAAGTCTAGGATCCCTAATAGTCTCTGCACTATGTCCAGATGTGGCTTCCTTTGGTCCAGATACTTATGGAAAAGAGATAGAGAATTTATCTACACCCCACCTCCCAACTTCCAACATACATTCAACATACAAAGTAGAACAAGGATAGGAAAATGGTTCATCTCCCATTTAGAAGGAAAAACAGGAGGCACAGCAGTTACTGGTCCGTAGTAATTCAAAAATCCTACTGGGCTGATGGTGAGAAAGACCCCCCCCACACACCTTTCTCTAGGACTGGAGCAGCTTTCTGGGAACAGTTCTCTAGTTTGTTCTTTCCCATGTCCTTGGTTCTTTCCTTAGAGCCAACCATCCTCTTCCATTTATGCTCCTTGGCTACATTTGAAAGGACATTGGAGGTTATGTGCTCCTTCCTCAGACTCCTTCATGCTCATAGAAACTTGGGGACCCAGAGGTCACATGGAGTCCTGAAAATCACAGTCAAGATCCAAGCTGGTAGCTTTCCTTGAGGTGGGGGGTGGGCAGTGCAGTTTTCTTCAAACACTAACTTCTTTATTGAATATAGTCAGTTCCTTGGGAGGACAGCCACACTCATAATTCTTTTTAGCCATGCCTCTCTCTAGACAACTGTAGGCAGATCTTCCTTGGGAGAAATAAATTAGTCTTCTTTTTTAAATGGTACTGAGGTTTGAACTCAGGGCCTCATGCTTGCTAGGCAGGAGCTCTACCACTTAAGCCACTCCACCAGTCCTTTTTGTGTTAGATATTTTTGTGATAGGTTCTCACAAATTATTTCCCCAGGGTGGCTTCAAACCTCAATCCTCCTGATCTCTGCCTTATAGCTAGGATTACAGGTGTAAACCTAGGTGTAATCCCTAGGATTACAGGGAGAACTAAATTCTTATCTCTCTCTCTCTCTCTCTCTCTCTCTCTCTCTCTCTCTCTCTCTCTCTCTCTCTCTCTCTCCCTCTCTGTTTTTAGACAGGGTATTGCTATGTAGCCCAGACTGGCCTCAAACTCGAGATCGTCCTGTCTCAGTGTCCTAAGTAGCTAGAATTACAGGCATGCACTGCCACAACAGCTTAATTTATTTTCTCTCAGTCATCTTGACTAACTGAATGGCTTTATTGGGAATCACTTTGATCAGTTTGGAGGTTTTTACATACTTGATATGACCCTTACCACAACGATGAGATTCAATCAAATTTTGTTGCTTAATACCCTTCTCAGTTGTATATTTTACTAAAAGTTTATGTCACTTGCCTGGATTATGGTCAGCTCATCACTTCAGGGATATGTGGTCACAGTGATAGGACACTTTGAGCTAGGAGCCAGCTGTGGTTTTATCCCACCCCCATCACTCCACCCTTCCTGGGGAGGAACAGAAGGGCAGAGTCAGCCTGCTGTGATCACAACACCTACAGCAGTCTGATTTGAGCCTCCCTGGGCTGGGCCTGGCCTCAGTGATAGCTCGGAGATGCAGAGGCTCAATTCCTGGAGGCCTTGGCCCAGTCCTTTCAGTAACACACAGGCAAAGGGATCTTCAAGCTTTTGTTTTTTTTTTAATTTTTTACAAAACCATTTGTCCCAGTCAAACAGGATACCAGAGGTCCCCCACCCCCAGGCATTGTGGCCTAGAAGGGGAGGCTCCCATGAATGAGCAGCTACCAACCCCTGAAGAACCATCTGCCCCTCTGCACAGGGGCCAGTATGACGACGGGGTCCAGCTGGAGGCTCTCCTCTGCCCCCACAGCTGCTGGGAGAGAAGGCCAGGCCCCAGTCCCTGGGACTCCCAGTGCCTACAAGGGAAGGAGGGAGAAGAGGGTCTGAGGGAAGGAGGGAAGGCTGGTGCCAAGGATGGGGAAGGCCCACCATATCTCACCAAGAGTACATTGCATTATCCAACTGCTGTGCTGATGGCAATGATGACTGCCAGGATGAGGACAGTGATGGACACACAGATGATAATCATGATTTTTTTCTGTGGGAGAGGAGGGGTCAGAGAAAATCACCCAGGAGTGCCCAGAGCTGGGGCCAGGGATGGAGGCTCACCTTCCTTGCTTTCTTCTGGTTCTCCAGAGCTATCTTGACATGCTTCTGCCCACGTTCCACATAGTCTGCTGAGCTCAGGATGTTCTTCTCAATCCTGTTGATCATCTCCCCCTGCTCAGAGAATGGGGCAGTTCAGAGCGGCAGGATGACCAGGAATGAGGGGCCAGCAGCTCCTTTGCCCACCTCAGCCCAAGATGACTAAGGACATTCCTGGCAGCAAACAACTACACTAACAAAGATCCAGTGGGACCAGATCTGACAAAAGTTCATACTCCTAAGTATGGCTTCTAGGCCTCGTTAGGTCACATGGTCCCTTCTGCACTCCTCCCTTGTTCTATACAACCTCCATTTGTAGTAGCCTGGAGCCCAGGACCTCAAGTCACTCATACCTTTTTCACAGATGGTGAACCTTTGTTCCTTCACAAATCTGCCTGAATTCACTCATTCTTCTAAGCCTGTCTCCCAGTTGCTGTGAAGCCCTCTCTGTCCCTGCCTCCTCCTGGCACTACCAGTCTCAGGTCCTACTGAATGAGAGTCCTTTCCTATGGCACCCAGCTGCCAAAGGGCATTGGCTGTAGCACTACTGAGGTCAGCTCTTCCAGGACAGGGCTGAAAATTCACTTCAACCCCTCCAACAGGACTAGGAATGCTATCCACCATCCCAACTGTGAATGGATTTTAGGAGGCAGGCCCTCTAGGGAACAACTTTGACTAGAGTTCTTAGAGTTCAGGATGGGTCATACCTGGGGTAGGAGCAAGCTGGAGGGACAGGTGGCCACTTGAGTAGCTGTGGAGGTGGGCACAGTTCTGGGGACTTAGCTAAGGATAGAAGTAAGGGAACCTGGGGACATACCTAACCCTGGAAGAGCACAAAAGCCTAGGAGAGAGTCTAAGAGTGGAGGTCCACTGTGGGTTCTAACTACATGGCCCCCTGTCTGGAGGGTGCCTGGGGTACCCACCTGCATCTCCACCTCAGTAGCCAGAAAAGTGAAGATCTCATGAAGCTCACGGATGCTGCGTTCAAGTTGCTGGATCTCACTGTGCCGGGCTGAGATCTCATTTAGGGCTTGTCGGGTCACTTGAGTGTCCTTCAGTATCTGGGGGCAGACACGAGTTGGGGAACAGGTCATAGGAAGACAAGCAGCAGGTTGAAAGTTCTTGTTGAGCTTCTAAAGCAGCTCTAGCCTAGAAGCAGGACCAGGACCTGATGAGTCACCAGGGCTCAGAGCAATGGGAGGCCCAGCAGAGGGAGGTTGGCTGTGGCCACTCACATTGGACACAAACACCTCACTCTGTCCACTATCCAGCATCTGCTCCAACTCCTCGTCAGACACCATTCCAGCATTGGCTGCGAAAGAGAAGGTCAGCTCAGAGCTAGATCAGCACTCCCTGATGCCATGGGCCCAGCACCCCAACTCACTGATCTTCAGCTGCCTCCGGATACGCTCCACATTCTTCTCCCGGTATTCTGACTGTGTCGAATTGCACTTGTTGATGAGCTCCACGAATTGCTGGGACAGGACCCCATGCTAAAGATGGAGAATGCAGGCTGGGGACCTAAGGAGAATCCTTGCCCACTTGGACCTTGGCATCCCCAGGGAACAATGAGCTATAGCATGAGTTGTCATGAGGTGTCTGCTGCCTTCACCATCTTGTCATGACCTTGACATGCTCTCTCTTTTCTCAGAGTGAAAGTCAAATTGTAGTCAGTGCCTACATGGCCCTACATGAGCTGCTCCTGCTGCAAGTCCCCTCTGACCTTACCTCCCAGCGTTGTTACCTCCCTTCTTCTCTCTCCACAGTGGTCCTCCTACAGGCCTTCGCACTCACTGCTCCTTCTGCTTATTCCTCACAAACACCTTTACGTCTTTGTTCAAATGTCATGTTCCAAATGAAGCTTTCGCTACCTATTTAAGTTCATCTTTTGTAGTGCTGGTGTGCACTAAGTACATGCTCTACCATGGAGATCTACCCCCAGCCCCTCCATCTTTTTTTTTTTTTTTCCTTTTTGCGGTACTGGGGCTTGAACTCAGGGTCTACACCTTGAGCCATTCTACCAGCCCTTTTATGTGAAGGTGTTTTTTGACAGGGTCTCGTGAACTATTTCCCTGGGCTGGCTTCAAACTTCAATCCTCCTGATCTCTGCTTCCTGAGTAGCTTGGATTACAGGCACGAGCCACTGATGCCTGGCTCCTCCATCTTATTTAAATTGCAATCCCCAGCACTTTCCATTGCTCTTCCCCTACTTTTTCCTTAACACTCTGTTCTAAAATTATTTATTTATGATGATGATTGTTTAGTCCCACTAGAATGTAAGTGCCTCAGGATACGGATTTTTGGTTCAAAAACGGTCTGGCACAAAGTAGGCACTCAATGTAGATCTGCTGAATACTTGCGAAAGGCCAGCTGGCCGCTTAGACTGGAAATGTGCTTGTGTGCCTGGAGGTCAGGTACATGCCAGGTATAACAGGTACCTCCAGGTCCTTGGCCTCTCACATCAATGACTACCACAAATTCCTCATGAAACACCCTCTCTGAAATATGTTCTGTCCTACCTTGTTCCTCATCCGATGTCTTAAATGAACTTATTCCTTCAGGGACCATATCTGCTTTCCTGGATTCAGTAGCCTGCTTTCAAATGCTCAAACTTCTCCACCTCCAACTCAGGATCTTTTCTTTATAACGGCATAGGGGATTGAACTCAGGGCCTCATTGCTTGCTAGGCAGGTACTCTACCACTTGAGCTACTCCAACAGCCCCCATTTGGAATCTTTGCTGATCCCAGATGATCAGCAAATCTGAGCCCACCTACTCCAACCATGACTTCTAAGAACCCCAAACCAGTCCTCATTGGGCACCCAGAGGGGACCAGTCAGATCATTCCAAATCTCCTTACTAAGATGTTGCCCCAGGGAAGTTCCTCTTCCTGATTTCTCCAATTCTGCCTGTCAAGTGGGTGGGAAAACTGCCAGTCATTTCTGACTTCTCCCTTTCCTCCCCTGAGCAGAGTCATTAGCTTCTAAATCTTACAAAAGTAGTGTCTTTGTTCCCTACTGAACCCAAGTTCCCCCTCTCAGCTTTTGGAAGGCACATTTCCTATAGTCAGCCTAAGTCAAGTTTGAGACACAGTGCTTCTCATTAAACAGAGAAGAAGGAAGCAGGTGTGTAATGGATTGAGCATCATGAGACCTAGGTTCTCCACCTTGAATGCTTTCTCTCTCTGACCCTTAGTTTCTCCATTTGGAAAATCATCATGACAGAGATACTGGACTTGAAGACCTCTCGATGCCCTTCCTTCATACATCTGCCATTTATGAAACACCTGCTGAACCTACAGCCTATCCTAGTTGTAGGAAAACCAAACCCACCTGGGTTTTTCTCATTCTTGTGTTCACTGAGTTATAGTTCTCATCAGCTTCCTCCTTCTCAGGCTCTATGGCTATGAGAAAACACAAGATTTAGGGGAAAAGAGGGTTTGATTTGAGACTTCTAAAAATCACTTGGGGACCAAGACACAGGGCCAGGACCACATTTCAGCTACAGGTGCTCTTGTCTCCATAAGATTTTTATTACAAAATAACTAGGGGCTAAGAATGTAGCTTAACATGCACAAGGCCCTGGGTTTGATTCCCCAGCACCATACAAAATAAAATAATAACAACAACAATAAGGCCAATTCTGAGCCTATAACAGGAGAAAGTTTATTTTTCTTTGCATTACATCAGTAGGTTCCCAGAAGTATGAAGAGACCTCATAACATAATCCCCATCTGTCTTCCCAAAGAGTATACATCAGGAGACAAGAACTATAGGAATAAGTGGTTTCATTGTAAATAAAGGAACTTAAGAAGCAGCCAAGTGCTATGGAAATTACCATGGACTGGGTGCCAGAAGACAGAGATTCAGGCCTGCTGTGTGGCCTGGATATATCACTGGCCTCTCTGGGCCACATACTCCCCAGATTTATCAGGTTCAGTGCAGGGACAGAGAGAAAGAGCTGAGGCCCCAGGAGCTCACCCTTCAGCTGTGCGCGGATCTCCCGCCCCAGCTGTTTGATCTCATCGCGCAGGTTTTGCAGGTCCTGCTTCATGCCTAAAGAAGAAGAGGCCCAGACTTCCAAACCACAGTTCCTACCTCAAGAAACTACCCTAGCCACCACCTGCAGGGAACTACAACCCCCACAATCCATTGGGCTGCGCACGTGTCCACCGGGGGTTTCGCTTACTCTCTTCGGGAAGGGGCGTGGCGAGAATGGTGACCTGCTGCTTCTCCAACTCCCGGACTTTATTCTCCAGCTTGACCATAGTCTGCCGAATTGTCTGGACCTAGAGAGGATGACCGGGAGGACTGAAAGAAATATGTGGTATTCCAGGCCGCCCCGCTCCTCGGTCCTTCTGCTCCCTGGAGAATCCAGGTCAACACTCCATCCCCTTACCTTCTGGAAAAACTCATCGTCCGGGCTCCCCAGCCGTGCCGTGCCAGGTTGCACCAGCGCGACTCGCTCCTTGTCCTCATCGTCCGAGCTGTTATCCCCCTGCCAGGGCCAAAGTCATTGGTACCACTTCCTTGCTGCGGCTCTCACCCCGCAGGACCCACAGGCTTCCGGCATTTTCCTTCCTGGCCATCAGCCATCCCTCCCTGTCCCGAAGACCAGGACTCCTTCATTCCAGTCCGTCTTCCCGCCCCCAGTCCTGCTGCCCCGACTGCTCACCTGCCTCAGCTCGTGGGTCCTGTCGCGCATGGCGGTCCGAGCTCCCCTCCCCGGCGCCCGAGCCCCGAGGGCCTCAAGATTCTAAGTTTGAAAGTCCCGTACCCCACTCGCACTGACAGCCCCCCCCCACCTTAGGGACCCCACCACACTCACGAGCCGCTTCAGGCTCCACCCCTTGCACCGTCCACAGCCAATGGGAAGGAGCCGACCTCGGGACCCCCCCCAAAGTCCCACAGGTTGGAATTCCCTCTTCTTCCCCCCTCCCGCACCGCAGCCGCAGCCGCGGCCCCGCCCCTCTGGGATGACTTGAGCATGCGCACAAGCTCGTGTCCCTTCCTCGCCCGGGGGAGAGGCGGAGGCCGGATGCTGCGGCGCCCCGAGCGGAAGTTAAACTGTCTGAACGCGAGAACCCGCCTCCTTCACCGGAATATTTCATCTTCGAACGGAAATCTAGTTGCCAAAAGGCGTGGGAATGAGTCATTTGTACGTAATCCGAGGGACCCGCATCTCACATCACGCCATGGCGCGTCCCCCCACCCGTGTCACATGACCAGCTGAATCTCAGCCCCTCGCACCGCAGAACGTAACTCTTACTATCACGTGTCCTGGCTCTGTCTCCGGTTCTCAGAGACACCACTCTCACGACGTCCTCGGCACTTGGCGTCTGAGCTACTTCCCACGAGTTGGGGAGAAGTCGTTGAAGCAGACAGTGGTGGGACCCTTGCTGAATTCACTTTTCTTTCTTTGGGGTTTAGGGGCGTGAGCAGCCTGACGACTTAGCATTTGGGGTTGCCCAGCACCCATGGGAACTTGAAAGTCAGAAAATAATAAGATCGGCGTTTTCAGCGTCAGAGAACTGCAGGGTTTTGTAGGCAGAGAACCTGGGGGTGGGAAGTGACCTCACCCAAGGCAGAAATCTCTTCCGCATCCTCCTGGCGCAGGCTGACAGGTGGGCGGCCCGTACTCTGCATGTACACTGCAGTCCCGCCGCGCCTCTGAGCAGAGAGACCATTTCAGGACAGTTCAGGCTGAGAAAAATGTTTGTATTATGTTGCACAGGCAGCTTCCCCGCCGCATACGCCCCTATCCCGACATTGTACCTGAGGCCAGGATATGACTATCTTGTTCTTAACTGAATCCCCCAGCACCCAGCACAGTACGTAGCACATAATGCGCCCTCATAAAAGATGTAATTAGAATTTTAGCCTTTCATGTATCTGAAGATAAAGCCGTGGTTCCCTGATCATTAGGCTTCGGGCTCTCACTGTGCCACTTCCCCAGCCCTGACTCTCCGGATATGTATTCACTTGACTGATATTTATTGAACACATACTGTGGGCCAGACACCATTTTAATCCCCTCATTTTAAATTATGCTGTATAGGAGTTCCCAAATTCCTCAGCAAGTGTCAGCATAGCCAAGAATGATGCTGGGTAACGTGGGAGAGAAAATTCAGCAAGGGAATTCAGCTGTCTCTCTCTAGTATGCCCTGGTCAGGAAACCTGTGTCTGGGTTGCTATGGACATCCAGAGAATAACTTCTCATCTCTTGATCTCCCATTTTTGTACAGTGGGTGACAGTAAGGGGATGGGGAGATCCCTGCTTAAAGTCCAATGATTATGAGATTGGAAACTGTCAAGTGCTGTCTGAGTCTTTGTGAAAAACTTTGGTCCTTTTCCTTTTCCTTTTAAAATCCAGCTTGCCCCAGTTGGGAAAGAAGGAGCCAGAACATAGTTACCCTGATCAGCTCACAGGGAATTCAGGGTGGGAGGGCTTTTTAAGAGGCCAAGTTCTGCCTGATGGGGCCCTGTAAAGATCAGGGTGAATTTCTCTGCTTTTGGATCTTCCACATTAGCCTCTGCCTCTCCAGTTAACTGCCACTTGCCTCCTCTCCCCCCTTATCTCTGCCTGTCTCCTTCATACCTCTCTGTGGGTGGTACCATGGAAGAGCTCTTGGACACCTGACCCGTAGTCCTATGTGAGTTCAGTAATTCTTGATCCTCTCTAGGACTCAATTTCCCCTTTGAAAATTTGGTCAGACTTTTTTTTTTATGGTACTGTGGTTTGAACTCAGGTCCTATGCCTTGAGCCACTCCACCAGCTCTTTTTTGTGAAGGGTTTTTTGGAGATAGGGTCTCGAAACTATTATTAGCCCAAGTTTGCTTCAAACCAAGATCTTCCTGATCTCTGCCTCCCGGTTATTAGGATTACAGGTGTGAGCCACCAGCACTCAGCTGGTCTGACAATTTTTGACTCGTCTAAGGTATTAGATGATTTCAAAGAAGGTGAGGAAGGTGTGGAAGGGTCTTGTAAACTGGTGAAGGTTACCCCAATTTGGGCTTTTACTACTTTGGGTTCCAGCTCTCTGGGCCCACCAGTCCTGTCTGCCTCTCTTTCTCAGCCTCTTGATGACTTGCCTTCTTGGTTCCCAGCTGCAATATGAAGTTGTTGGTGTCTCTGTTAGGCTGTTCAGGATTTTGACATTCATTATTTAATTTGTGGGATCACTGGGATTTGGAGTCGTACTTAAAGTTGCAGGAGGCTGGACTCAAAGCCTCATGAAATAGTGTGTCTAGTGGACAGGCTGTTTGGACACTAGCTCTGGGGATGGAGCTCCCCCCAACTGAGCCCTTTGTCCTCACAGTCTCTCTGACCAGCCCTGAAGTGGTTCTTGGGAGTGAGTGTAAGCATGGGAGTGTGTATTCTTTCCAGTCTGTTAGAAGCTCAGGCTCAGCCTGGTTGTAAGGTATAGCAACTTGTCCTGTCCCCTCTACCTGCAGATCTGATCCCACCAACACGGAAGCCAGATGACCTGGGCTGGGATCCCAGTTTAGTCCCCTGTGAACTCTATGAGGCAGGTTATTTAACCTCTCCAAGCCTTGGTTCCCATCTGAAAAAATGGGAAGAATAATAGTACTAAGCCCATAGGTGGCTGTAAGGATTAAATGAGGTGATATAAGTGAATAGGACAGTACCTGCTACAGAGTAGTGCTATATGAGTGTTTGCTGCTGTTATGTGATAGTGATGATGGTGACTATGCTCTGAGGGTTTGAACAGCCCCAGTGTCTACTCTGCCTCTTGTTCAGGATCTTCCTTTCCTTCCATCTCCTGAGCCCCACTGTGCACTAGGTGCTAGTGACCTTGACAAGTTCTGCACATCTTGCCTGTCTCCACTTGGATCTGTCAGATCATATATTCTGCCTATTCACTTCACATATTGTCTGTCTTCACTACCACCAAACCCACTAGGATATAAACTCCACAAGGACAGGTATATTCACCTGCCTTATTCACTACTGGGTTTTCAGTACTTAAAACTGTGCCTGGCACATACTAGCTGGTCAATAAATATCCACAAATGAATGAAATTACTTCTTTTTCATTTAATATTTATATATGTGGCAGAAACCAATATAAGCACCTTATAAATATTAATTCATTGAGTCCTCATAACAATTCTATGAGATAGATTCTATTACTATCTTCACTTTACAGAAGAGGACACTGAGGCACAGAGAAGTTCAGTAACTTGCCTAGGGTTACTTGCCTAGCTTGTAAGTGACAGACTTGGATTTTAAGCTAGAGAGTAGCTCTAGGGTCTGTAGTCTTAATTGCTACATTATGATCCAAGGAAAATACCAGCTAGGGGTTAGGAATGTAGGAATGATAGAGGGATGGAGTGATGATCGAGGATGGAGTGATGAACGTGCTCAGTGGTAGAGCACATTCTTAGCATGTGCAAGGCCCTGTCTTCCATCCCCTGTTCTGCCAAAAGAAAAGAAAATACTATCTTGGAGTGGCTCCCAGTGTTCTACCATAGAGGACTAACAAGTTCCCCTGTGAATGCCCTGCTTTGGATTCTCTGAGGGGAGGAGGGACAGACTGCATGCTTGATGGAGCTTCCTCCCCTCCCTTGTCACAGGGTCTCTCTCCCACTTGATGGGCTAGCCCTGACTGCTAGAGGATGTTGGTCTTCCTCCCTCTCCCTGTTTGCTTTGCCATCAAGTCAAAGATACTCATGTCTCACATAAGGGCCTCCATTCTACAAACATCTCTGAGGCTGTTTTCGTGGCAAGCCTGTGGGACACAGAGACAAAGCCCCTGTAGCTCTTCCCTCATTACTACATTTGGGACCTGAACTTGACCACTTCCTAGAGTTCCATCTGAGACCTTCCCTTCTTCAAACTTACACACACCCCTGACAGCTGTCTGCTAGTCTCCAAAGCCATATCTCTAACACAAAGTTTCTCCTGAGCTCCAGACCCAGAATCGTGGGCATCTCGAGGTCCCATGGGTATCATGAGCCCAACATGTACCAAATAGTACATGCCTTCCCTTAAAATCTCCTAAAACAGCTTCTCCTCCTCCTGTGTCTCCCCTTCACATGGGTGACTCGGTGTCATGTCTTCCATTGTTTTGGCCTTGAACTTTATTCTAACGATGATGGAGGAGTTTATGTATAGCTCAACAGTATAGTGCTTGCTTAGCATGCAGGAAGCCCTGGGTTATCCCCACACCGCAAAAACACATATAAGGATAAATAAAGATAATGAATCGTAATCTGTCAAGATAAATTCCATTCAAATACTGAAAGAAAAGAAGAGTGAAAATTTTTGTAACTCCCAAAGTGAGGCTTTTCCAATTCCAACTCAGAAGCTCTAAAAGAAAAGAGTAATACCTTTGTCTCTGTAAAAAAATTCTATGGGGTAAAAAGCATCATAAACAAAATCAAAAGACAACAAGCCTGAGTGTAATGATGCATGCCTGTAATTTCAGCACTCAGAAGCCAGAACATCAAGAGTTCAAGGCCAGTTTTGGCTACTTAGTCAGAATCTATATCAAAAAAAAAAAAAAAAAGAAAGAAAGAAAAGGAAAGGAAAACAAATTGGCAGGCCTTAAGTATGGCTCAAGTGGCTTGGCAAAAAGCCATGAGTTCAAACTCCAGTACAACCAAAAAAATCCAAATTGGGAAATATGTTTGCAGTTCTTACCATATACAAGTGGCTAATCTCCCTCCTCTTTGAAGAGTTTCCACATATTGATAAGAAAGACCAATAGTTTAAAAATTAGGCCAAGAACATGACAGTTCACAAAAAAGTACTTAAGGCCTTAAAGATAGGGTCATCACACATAATAAAAGAAATTAAACTTAAAGCTAGGTATGATGGTACAAGCCTGTAATCCCAGTACCGGGGAGGGGAAGGCAGGAGGATGGAGAGTTCAAGGACAGCCTCAGCTACATGGACCCTATCTCCAAATTCAAGGGCTGGAGATGTGGCTCAGTAGTAGAGTGCTTGCCTAATGTGTAACACCGGGGTTTAATCCCCAGGCTCACAAAATTAAGACAACCCTGAAACACTGATTTTATTTACTGCATTAGTTTAAGTTCATAAATTTGACAAAACAGTTTTCAGCAAGATAGTGTAGAAACTGATACTTTCACACATTGTTTCTGGGAAGGCAAAATGGTACGACTCAGTATTTATCAAAATAATAAAAACATACACATTGTAAACAAGCAATCCTACTTCTGAAAATCTAAGAGCTATCTACTGCTGCATAAGAAGCCACCTCAGAAGCTGGGTTCTGGTGGATCAGGCCTGTAATCTTAGCTGCTCAGGAGGCAGCAATCAGGAGGATTGCAGTTCAAAGCCAGCCCTGGCAAAAAGTTTACAAAATCCTATCTCAAAAAAAGGGCTGGTGGAGTGGCTCAAATTGTAGTCCCTGAATTCAAAGCCCAGTCTGCACAAAAAAAAAAAAAAAAAAAAAAAAAAAAGAAGAAGAAGAAGCCACCCCAGAAACTTGGAGTTCCTTACTAGGCTA